TTTATTTTTCCAAGTTTTAAAATTTTGTAAAATAATAGTAATAGCAGTTTTAATTTCTAGAAAATTGGCGTGAAAATAATTAATTTTCAATCAAATAATTCGTTACGCGATAAGGAATCACAATCAGTACGATAGTTTCTTATCTTCTATTGAATATGAACTGTTTTCACACCAATTTTCTAGAAATTAAAACGGCTATTACCAAGAAACTATAGATTAGATATGAATACATGTTAAATTATAATTTTTAGAATAATATATTTTACAAAATGACTATTTTTAAAATTTTAAAACATAGAAAAATAAAAAGTTATTTTTTCATCAATTAAGGGATAAAAATAAAAATGTAATTTCTCTCTACATATATATTCCCTTCATACAAAATTCGATTGAAAAAAAAAAATGAACATTGACAGAATTATTTGCATAAGGATAACACTGTAGGACACCTGTATTACACCTCACGCAGTACCTAAATTCCTCCCTAAGGAGGAATCTCCCCCCCCCCCGTTGGGAAACATTGTATTAATGTACCTATTATAATATCATCTACACGCGAAGGCCATGGGATTGTAAATATAATTTTACTGCAGTATCATAATATATTATTATAGTAAACTTTAAATTATAGCTAGTATACATGCAGTTATATAGATACCTTAACGAATAACAAATTGAAAGGACAAGAAAATTTAAATATTTAGGAAGTTGGATAACGTAAATTTGTGACCCTAACACAAATATTAAGGCCACTGCAAACACCATGAAATTATCGTCATAAAGACTTTTTTCAAGTGTGTACAAATATTAGGTATATGAGTTTATAAACAAGTTTAATTTGTATAAGTCGAAGTTTTCATGTTAAAATTTATTATTTACTATTAAAAATTGAAAAGTCTATCAAACTTCAAACGCTTTATTTTCATAAATAATTTGATAATATTGAAAAGTACTTCAACTAATACAAAAGTTAACTTAATTGTTCATGAATTCAAATATAACACGTTTGGGTATTTTATTCCAAATTGCGACACGTTTAATCACAAAATTATAATACATTTGGATACCAGTGGCAGATCCAGAGGGAATCAATGGCCTCGCCCCTCCCCAGCCTACAGATTTTATTTCCATAAAAAATTAATTGTTTAACGCAAATATATTATAATAGGGTATTTTCAAGAAAGAAATGTGGATAGGAAGGATAAATGAATTGGTTCCACTATAATATATTTGTATCATTATTTTTTTTTGTCTGTAAACAAATTTTCTACCAGAAATCTTACTCCAATCACAAAATAAGTTATCAATAGTTTATTGGTGTTTAAAGATATAAATTAAATAACTTTATGTGTCCTACCTTCTTAACTTCCCACCCACAACAGTAGTTGCACCCATCCCCAGTAGGTATCACATTTTTTTGGCTTAGTAGTAATTTTTTAAGACGCCCCCCAAAATTCGTTACACTTAACGTTGGCTTAACTATGTTATAACGTTGGGTAAAACGGCCCAATTGTGCTGTACCGGCCGGTCTTAGACCTAAAAAGACGGAAAAGGATGTCGCGGGTAAAAAATATTCAATAATGGACTGGAAAAATCAGTAATAATAGGTAATATACTTATTTAGAGCAAGGCACGACAGAAATATCTTCCAGCAGTTTGCTACTGATTCAATTAATGGCGATTGAGCAACACCCGTATCGGGTAATACGAGAATAAGAATATACAATTGAAATATTTAAAAATTGTATTTTACTTATTGTAGTTAATATTGAATTATATAATATTATTATCACACCGTTCAAGTAAAATTATTATACATGTTTTCGTATTGTTATTCAAATACATCCTAACACGGAATGAACGGTATATAATACGGAAGTGAAGGTGAACACGACTAGGGGCCCGTGACTAAAATTACGAACGTATATATTAAACGGTACGTAAGTAGAGGACACGTCGATCGAGTGCCATCAACACTGTTCTTCCATGAAAATGAAAACCTAGTCGCGGATCGCGGTTATGTGAACCAGTCAATTGTTTGTAAAACCACAAAAAAAAAAAAACAAAAAAAAAATGTCTAATACCTATAAATAGCTTAAAATGGCAGGATATTTTGCAAATTTGACCAATACCTAATATAAGCATTAAGTATTCTTTTAAAATATCAAGTTTCTAAAAGTTTCGTGAAAAAAAAGTTAAAACCAAAATTAACAAAAACCACAATTACTGGAATCTTTAGGTTATTCCTGATTTTTTTTTTCCCCAATTATTAAGAAAACTACAAGAAAAATCAAAAGATGACCATCTCAATGCACCAACTAGACCCATTCTGTGTTACCTATCCGAAAATTGCACGGTGTGTCAATTATACATTCAATTGCATCATCACAAACATATTATTCAATAGAACGTAAGTAGCCTACGTACCAATAATACGAATATTAGGTAATCGAGTTAACATTCTTTTGATACGAGTATACAATAATAACCTAATTATTGTTTTTAATACGAAAAAAAATTCATATAATTTTTTCATGATATAGATATTACGTGACTTGAGTATGATAGATCAATAACGTAACCTCGGGCTGTATTATTGTAATTATTTGCTTTACACAATAATTCGAATTAATACCTATCCATTTGGAAAAATAACTCTTCCGAACGCATCAAAATACTGGGAATTTATTTTTCCGGTCAAAGTTTTTGCGCGTCCGTCACAAAATCTAATTAGATATTGTACTATGGGCACGTGCAATACGAAAAAGGCCTTATTTTTGTAAACACCTGACCTATTATTATATTTTAGACAGTGTGTACAGCAGTGGCGTAGCGAGGGGGGAGGAGGTGTTTTGGAGTTCAAACACCCCCCTTAGACATATTTATGGCAACAATTCAAATTTTTACTATATGCAGTTATGCAATCAGAATTCTATGCGACGTTCTGTGTTACGCTTAGAAAATTACTAAGTATATGTTATGTATGGTACATGCGCACAATAAAGTTAGATAAGTTACATCTAAATACAAAATAAAAACACCTAAAAAAATCCTGGCTACGCCACTGGTGTACAATGTACACTGTACACTTAAATAGGTTCCTATTAATCCTACTCGAAAAATAATAGTTTAAACTCGAAAAGTAAGGGTGAACATAAGCGTGCTGCCTATCCCCTGCGAGATTTTCTGCCTAAGTCTTTTTGAAAAACATGTTAGAGATATGAATTTGTTTTTAATATTAAACCCTGACGTCCCTGTGATTTTTTACATGGTGGAAGGCGCTTTGGAAGCTATTTACTCCTTTCGAAAACTCAACCAGGCTCCTCCGCCCACCTACAAAAAAAAAAGTGTTCAGGACTTCAGCAAGTCGGTAAAACTAAGTATACATAATCAGTATAATGGGAGCTTAAACCCTCTCCAAAAATATTTGAAACCGATGAGTGTTGTGTATGTTAGTTTGATTTCAAAAATAGTCGTCTCCTTTATCAAGAACACCTGTGCGCGCTTATGGAGAGGAGGAGGGTTGTCCAGGGTTTGTGACTTGGTGGTAGCTATCTACTATTTATACTAATGTCCTACGTACGATAATCGTAGTGAATTCGTGAATTCGTGTTCGTATCAAAAAAGTGTTAAAAATAGCGTTGAAAAACCAAATAATAATAATATCTTCGTTGTCGTGTTTGTAGCTAATTCAACCATTAACTCGTAATTTGAGTTGAACAAAATCATTATCCAATGTTCGATATGTACATGCCCGTTGATTAATGATCACTGTTTTTGAATGTACCCGGTGCCAAGTTTACAATAATCACAGTAATTATTTATTTAGGAAAGCGGAGACGAATATCTACGTAGGTCTCGACTATACTGCGGCCGATAATGGGTAAAAAAAAAATCAATAAAGTTCCGTATTTGGACCGGCGGACCGCGTGTTGCGTTATCGAATCCGCACATGTTACGAAAACGTCGGGAATTCGGCGTGTTCAAATCGTTTATGATGTTCGCGAGTTTATCAGTTTATCCGGTTAACACGGAATGCCGGCAATAAGCGATGAGTCTCCGTCAAACGAATTAAAATCGATAACCATCTAGACCTAATATTTCGGGGCAAGTGGGGAGGGGTGGAAATTGTCCGAGTAAATATTTTAATATTTCGCCCCCTCTCGCGAAATCGACCCGAAGACTGTCCCTGTCACTCGACGGCCGCGGGCAAATCTAATAGACACATTGTCCGCCGTCCGATATGACCACTATGCGGCGTCGACGAGAAATTTCGATCGTTCGATCACACCGGCCGGCAACAGTGTCGGCAGTCGGTTACCGTTATACTATCCGTCCGCGGCGACGGAACCGTCAACTCCCGGGCGACTGGCGGCGGCGTTGTGGCGTCGACGTTATCCGCGCAGCAGTTCACCGGGACCCGGGAACAACGGATAGGTGGGTACATTGTATAATCTCGTAAAGTACATCGCGAGGGGTTAGCGGAGGCGACGGCGGTACGAGAAGGGTCCTCGTCGTATGGTGGCGTCGGCGGCGGGGTCGGTGGAAGTGGTCGCGTGCGCCTTGTCCGCTCGTCGGCGGAGCTGCTCCCGGGCCACAGAGCCGCGGCCGCTGCACCGGGAAGATAGTGCGCGGCGACAACCGTGTATTATTTTTGGTGGGGACGGCGCGTTACGGTGCGGTACGACGTAATGAATGTCGAGTCGGGTGTTTGTGTGTGAGTGTGTGTGTGTGTGTGACCGACTCACTGTGCGGGACATTGATACGGTCGGCGGCGGCGGCCGGGTGGCTACGATAACGGCGTAAGGGCGGTGGGGTAGTGAGGGGGGATAGAAGTACGAAAACGAAGAAGAATCGGTGGAAAAACAACACACGGGCTATGGGCAGCGCCCGCACGCACAACGTGCAACAAACGCACACAGGCATAACCGCACACACGCACACACAAGCACACATGGACGCACATATTAAAATACATACATTTATACACGCGCGCGCGACGCGCCATATTGAATCCGACGTCCGCGCGCGCGTGTGTGTGTGTGTGTGTGTTAATTTTCGCGTATCCGGCCATTACCCGCGGGCCGTCCGTGCGTGTGTACACAGTGCCGATTATTTTATAATTTTTTTTTTTTTTCTGTTCCCCGCCGTCGTACCGAAATATCGAAACGTTCTTTTTCAAATTTCTCACGCTGAAACGTTCAGTTTTCTCGATTATTAATTATTATTGTTTATTTATTTCACCCCTTCGCGCGTACGTAACTCGCGGCCACCGGTGGCGGTCCGAGCTCCGAGCTCTCTCGTCGGCGGAAAGCGACGTTGATTAACAACGGCGACGCGGTGGCGGTAGTCGTCGGACGACGAGCTTCGTTTTTTACCCGTTTTCGACCGACGGCCGAACGGAATTGTCGCCGCGTCGTTAATCGACCCGTTCTGTCCGTCGCGCGTGCCCGAGAAAAATAACAATAATAATAAATAATAACAATACGCGCGCACGTAACGCCGGCCGGTGGTCGGTCGTCGGTAACTTTTTTCGCGGCCGGGTCGAGTGGTCGTCCGGATGACCGCGGCCGCCGCGTATTCGTCGCCGACACCGTTGCGGTCCGTTCGACGGCCGCGCGATTCGCTATTGCACGACCGCACGATGGCCGATGACGGCCTGGCAACTAACTGCAATAATAATGATAATAATAATAATAAATAATAATACGCCGCCGCCGTTACCGCTGTTATCAATCGGTCGTTACAGTGTTGTTGTGATGTCGGAATCACATTTTGCCGTGTAACGCCGCCGCCGGACACAGTAATCGAAAAACGGATTACGGATAATATCACCGTCGTCGTCGTCTTTTGTTTCCGCAGCAGCCGTCGGCCGCCACCGCCGCAGTCGCCTCACCGCGGATAAAACTTACTGCGTAAGTACCTACACGGCCGTCGTCGCTTATTTACTGCTACTTGTAGCCACTTTTTTTTTTTTTTTTTTCCCTTGCATTTCCCTACTCGTTTTAGTGACATTTTGCGTTTATTTTTTTTTCTTTCTTCATAAACGTTAATTGTCGAAAAAACCGATTGAACCCGCCCGGTTGTTTCCGCTTTTGCACAGTGTCGTCGATATTATTGTTATTCGTATTCAGTGTTACATAGTCGGTGTGTGCGTGTGTACGACGACCGTGTATACTTTGTGCGTGTGCGCGCGCGCGTGTGTGTGTGTGTCCGTGTGTTTCCATGTGTGTGTGTGTGCGCGCGCGCTTGTAAAAGAAACTTGACGGCGAGAAGTCTTGTATTATTATTATGTATCGAATTATCGTTGCCGCGTATGTCGTTTTTTAATCACCTTGACACGAATACACGTTTTGGCGGAATAAATAACGCGACGGACACCGGCGGTCAGCCGTTCGCATTTTCCTCCGGTAGGTACCTATAGTAGTTTTCGTCGCGTACGCAACACGGGTTTTTCGGAATTTCCCCGTTTACCTACGCCGCCGCCGTCGTCGCGCTGGCGATTTTTCGTTTCGTACTCGCCGCGTACCTATAACGGCAGTACAACATTATTATCCATACCCGCGGCCGTACACCGAGTACCTATGGTTATGCCCGTCTCTTAAAAAAAGTTTCGGGTCCGTTTCGAGTATGTAACGACCGTGCCAAAGCCTACAGGTGTAGGTTGCCCCGACAGCCGGCACGACGTCGACCGCGGTCCGTAAAATTGCTCTCGGCTCGTGTTGTGGTCCGCGGGGTACGTCAGTATATTTTAGTGTTACGACAATATCTTTAATCGCGACGTCAAGTCGAAAGTTCCGCGAAAGTAGAACGCACGAAACGTTGTAATATTGGGATTTGCCTAGGTCATTGTTATTGAAATGATTCGAATTAGTAACCAGTATTTGCTCCAATCATTTTATGCACTTGTAATGTTGATATTTATGTAAACAACAATAATAATAATATTAAATACTACCTACCTGTTAGGAAACGAGAATTTGTTATTTTTAGTTTTTTTCTTTAGTTATTAAATAAACCGAGTTTAACCGTATGCACCTTCAGTGTTTCGTTTATTTATTTATGTAGATATCGAAAATTTTGTAGGTAAAAAGGAAGTCTTATATTATCAACTATTGTGTTTTTACTTGTAGCTCAAAACACCTTAAATCAAACAAGTTTTTTATCAATAGTATAATCTAAGTTTTATGAACTTTCACTACCTACCTTGATCATATGGTGGCTGTTTCAAGTGATTGTAGGCACCTACTTACCAATTATTCGGGTACCTCTATATTTTTTAAATTACCTACTTAATTGATACTAATTAGGTGTATTTATCTAAATAATATTTTTAAACATTTTCTGATTTCTACCTAGTTAAAATTTATAATTACCTACTTATGGTTGACTGCTAAGATATAATATACTATTTAAATATACAAATACATAGGTAACTTCATACCTATATAGAGTAGGTAGGTACTTCGTATTTAGTTTTGGATTATTTTATACATAACATTACATATAAGGATATTATTTCTTTGAATTGTTAATTCAAAAATGAGTAAACATATTTTTATAATTTACTAACTTAATATTGAATGATTTACATTTAGCTGTCATAATTTTGGTTTTTATGAAAGTTGAAATTTAAATCATTTGGATACTTGTGTTCTTTATTGGTAAAATATTTATTTTACTCTTATTCTAAGATTAATTATCTAAGTAAAATACTTAGTAAATTTGTGCACTTGATGTTTAAACTCTCCTTTTTTTATCATTCTTTATTATGTATTGCAATGTTAAATATAATTAGGTATTTAAAGGTTCCTAATTAATATTAAATTAATTAATTTGTGTTTTATTTTATGTTCAAATTGAATTATGATCATTTTAATAATTGCTTTAGCTGTGTTCTACTAAAATTTACATTGCATAGGTAGGTGCTTATTATACAGAATATGTTATTTTTCGTATGGATCTTCTTATCTATTTTATGTATTTAAATGCTTATTAGAAAATTAAAAACTAAATTTGAACACGCCTGTGTTTTCTTTTTGTAAATTTGAATAGGTTCATATTATTCTTATATTAGTATTTTATAATATATACTATAGTATATAATAATTCTGGACTTAAATAAATGTAGGTATCTCTTATATATTTGTGGAAATTGTACAATATTATTTAATCATGTCGGGAATCACATTTATATCAGGAATGCTGTCTTACTTTGATTTGAAATTGTACAGGTACAAATTAATCGCTAGGGTGATTAGAATCAAAAATTATCTTTTTTCTGTAGAAGTAAATAATGACGTTTTTGGCTTTAGACCAGTTGAGTCTAATTAACAATAATTCTACGGTGATGGTTAATTAAATCAAAGTTATTCCAAATTTCTTATCAACCAGGTAACATCAAAATCATTTCTATAAAATGTGTTTTTTATGTTGTTCTAACTTTCTTTGGAAAAAAATGCAGCTAGTATTTAACGTTATGAATTTCACTATATTTTTTTAAGCAACTTACAGACTGTCATTAAGTTAAAACCGTTTTTAGATTATATGCTAAAAATTATAATTATGATTATGGTATTAGGAAAAAATTATTTTATTTGTTTTTTTGGGATGATTAAGGTCAGAAGGTTTTTATTTGTCTTATGGGTCAGCTCTATATTCATATTAATATATTAATATTGTAATTGGATACTAAATATACATAATATTAGGTAAGAGTAGTGAAAAATAAAATGATTGTTGTTTTTCCTTAATTTAGACCAAATCCGCAAACATATTTCCTTATATTACATACTTATATATGGTTAAGCTTTAACAGCATAGTGTTAAGAAATTAGAAAATGTGTTGTCAATAATTGCAAGTGGATTAGATCTGGCGTAAATCCAAATTTAATACAAATTGTCAATGAAACTCCCATTTCTTCCCCCCAAAAAAATAAGCGTTCAGATTATTTTACCAGAAGGAATAGAAAAAACAAAATCTGAAAATATTTTCAAATGTAATTGAGATTACTTCTTTACCGAATTCAAACTTATGATGTTTGTAAATACTATTTAGATAAAGAAGAAACTAAAGTTAAGATAGCTAAGTTTAAAGATAATCGGCCTGGATCCATTTGTAAAGTTTTATTTTTTTTTATTGTTTAAAAATCACTTATTATAACATTAAATTGTGTCATAAATATATGTATTTCTATAAATATTACATAAAAATGTTTTCTAAAAGTTCTTTTTAAAAATAAAATATGCTTTTTGACTCTATTCACCTATTAGAAGTTTAAATGGATTCTACTTCAATATTAATATACTGATTTTATACACCCAGTAAAGGGGCAGATAGAGTAATAACTTAAACAAAGAATTTAAACAAATTCGAATGGTATAAATATATTACGCATAACTTAAATTATTACAACTTTTGTTAAAGTTTTTATTGTAACTAAAAATTCATGAAGTTATGGCCAAAATACATCTAAAATTGATGTGAGTGATCCCGTTTTACAGTACCATTGTTTATGATGTATACAACTGTTATTTATATAGAGATATATCAATAAAACTTATTGTATACTTAAAAATTAAAGAACCAAGAGTCAATAGTACGATGAAATTGTTAGACAATAGAGGAGATTGAAAAAGGTGAATCAGCAATAGACCTTAATGGCCTTTGAAAGCTAAAGATAGATAGATTTATATATATTTTTAAAAAAAAAGAAAAGTTTTCTAGCTTTATAACTAAAATTCTACCTATTTTTTCATTCATAAATACCCATAAACTTAGATTTATCTAAATTTTAGGTACATAGGATATTTTTGTTATAGGATAAAAATGTTCTTGTTTTTTGTAACTGAAAAAGTGTTATTTATTTATTAAAATATTATTACCTACTTATTAACCAAGTATTTTAAATTAAAGAATTAATCAAATTACTAAAATAAATAATGTGTTGTATAGGCGTATAAATAAAATATTGTGTTTCGGTATTTTTCTATTCTAGTTTAATTTGTTTTTATTGTTTAACATTGATTATAAATAAACAGTTAAATAAATAATAACAAATATTTTATCAAAACATAAGTTAATTCATAATTAATAACTATTGTAATCAAATTATTGGATTGGTAGTTTGATTATTTCATTAATAATCATGTTGTTTATATTTGGTTATCATTAAGTAATGTAATTTGTAATCAATAATTTTAAACGACTATTAACCAAGTTAATTTTACTTTTTTATTGAATGTTTTAGATAATGGCAACTCAAATGGAAATTGATGATGATGTAGTTGATTTAAGTATATCAAGGTAAATAAAATATATAATTTTTTTCTTATTTTCTATTATGCCTACATAATAATTTAATATTTTAGTCGCACAAGTCAACCATTAAGCGATGAGCCACTTTCATTAAAGTGTCCTCAGCCAGATGATGTTCATAGTCATATGAATGGACATTTGGTTAATGGTTGTTCAACTACTAGTGGAAATGATTCTTCAGAAGATAGTGATGATGATATGCCTCTTGAACTTCCTCCATCTCCGAAGGTATAAATATTGTGAACTATTTCATTTTTTTATTTTACTAAATAATACATATTTTTTATAACTATTAGGACTTACCAGCTCCTGAAGAGTTATTTGAAAGGGAGAACCTCATTAGAGTTTTAAAGGAGAATCTCCGAACTGAAGAAATGACTTTGGTGTTGTTAAAGAAATTGCAACAATCACAACAAATTAACCAAATTCCACCCAGTGTTACCATAACCCCTCAGGCAGCTCATACTAAAGATCATTCTAACCAATTATCATCTCAATTGCCTACTGGGAAGTCAGCTCAACCACCAATGCCCAATGTACCTCATCATGTAAAACCACCACCGCCTGCATTAAATCGTCTGGTAAATTCAAAACTTACATTATTTTATTGTATGTACCTATTGTATTAATTAACATTGTCTTTTATAGCCTTCATCGTCGAGGTCTAATGTTCATCAATCTCACCATTCTATGCCTTCGAATCCATTAATTGGTTCTAGTAGATTACCTCCTTCCAACGGTGTAACAAATTTGCAGAGGACATCTAATGGTCGATCATCGAGTTCTGCTCATTCATCTCCAACTATTACACTTGAACGAGTAATGAAAGATCATCATTCATCTAATAGCTCTCAATCGGTATAAATATATAGCAATTCATTAATAAAAGCCCAGATTTAAATATTCTAAAACTATTGAAAATATAAAATAAAATATATTTTAATACTATTTTTAGGAACGATTGAGAAATGATGATGGTCAAACACCCGCTCAAAGACAAGCTGCAGCTAAATTAGCTCTTAGAAAACAGTTGGAGAAAACATTATTACAGGCAATTAATTTAATTTTAATTAATTTGTTATATTATAAAATTTATATTTTATTAATCAAATTAGATTCCACCACCAAAACCTCCACCACCTGAAATGCATTTTATTCCAAATCCATCAAATACTGAATTCATTTATTTACTTGGATTGGAGCATGTTGTTGATTTTATAACAAACGGTGAAATGATTGAAGCCAGTGTACATAAAGAACCATACAAGTGTTCTCAGTGTGAATCAAATTTCACACCTGTTTGGAAATTGGAAAAACCATCTAGAAGTATGTTTAAAAAATAATTATTAAATTTTAAATAGTGTATACAATACAGTTGTTTTTTACAGGTAAAGAATCTAAAATCATATGTGAACTATGTGTAACCAGTAATGTAAAGAAATCACTCAAAGCAGAACACACAAATCGACTGAAGACTGCATTTGTCAAAGCTCTTCAACAGGAGCAAGAAATTGAACAAAGGCTTGCCCAAGGATCACCACCATCATCTGTATCGCCAGCACCAGCACATCCAATTCAAATTAACCCTCCAATGCCGTCCCTGCCTAAACCAGCACCTGCACCTAAACGTAATCCCACACCTCCACAACCGCACAAAATGCATCCATCGGATCACACGAGTGGTAAATTTAATGCTGCAGCTGCAGCTCACCTTGCTCTTCAACAGCAAATGCTCAGAGGATTGTCTCCCCATCCTGCTGCTGCCATGTTACAGTTTGCACCACTTCTTTATCCGTACCAACTGGCCATGGCACAAGCTAGTGGAAAGAATTCTGCGGCTGCAGTAGCTGCGAACTTGGCTGAACTACAAAGGCAAGCAGTAGATTTGCAACGACAGTATTTAATGGAGATGATGCCCCAACAAGGCCAATCACGGTCTTCATCGCAAACACCGACATCTGCACACAATTGGAAATCATGATCATAATAATATTAGCATACAAAATTGTGTATTCTGCTAATTATTCATTGATGTACAACTATTAATTTAATATTTTTTTCTTTTTTACTCTCACTTTGAAAGTCTGTGCATATAGTATGTGTTTTGTACTAATTGTGTTTATGTGCATTTTTTTTTGTTTGTGAGTGGTTCTTTAAAACCCTGGTGATAAGTGAATATCAATCAATGCATTCCAACTTTGCACATGTATCAATATTCGGATGTAGTGCTGCATAAAAGTTGTTATTTTGTGCAAGACTATAATAAAGTCCATTGCCTAGTTATAGTAGTTTATGTGTTTCATTATGCTACATCACCTCTGCTAATGTGTTGCATGATTCTACCTACGAAAAGACCCAAAAAAAGAATTAATATTTGACCAGCTGTGGTCTATTATTACATCATTACTGGACTTTACTTCATTATTATTATTTTTATATTTTAGTTTTATTATTATTATTATTATTATGTTTTGGAAATTCATATTTGTTTCTAAATAAATGTGTTTAAAACTGTACAAAATCACCTTGTAGCAAACCTATTGTTGACATTGTTCATTTATTTTGTAAATAGTTAACATTATAAAAATTAATGAATTATACAGTTTGTGGTTAAAAAAATAACATTTGTATAAGAGCCATGTTATTGGAGTTGCGCTGGACCCAAAATAATTGGTTTTATTTTATTTTTTTTACAATGGAACCATGTTATTTTTTTATGTATGAAAAATTGAATGTATTTTTACCTGTAATAAATTTGTTGTATGTTTTTTTTTAGTCAATTCTGTTCCCATTTTGATGTTTACCTGGATATTGTATATAATAAACCAATAAACTAGTTGTGCAAATTAAGTTTTATAAAAATAAATATAATTAATTACATTATATTTGATTTTTTATACAAAAAATAGTGTATTTTATTGCCTTAGCAGTATTCAAATTGCCATTGTTTATTTTAATATCATCTAATATATTATTATATATTATATATAATTATTAAATATACATAACTCATCTCACATGCATACAATTTTGAATTACTCTTTCCAATAGAAAGTAAATTAATTCCTATTTAAATTTAATTATTCCTATTATATGATATTGTGTTTCACCTAACTTGCTGAATTTGTTCATACAATATATGTGTAACTTATAATTTACAATATAACACACAATAATTATGAAGTGTGTTATTTTTGCAAGTCGTTTTCTTTTTGTGATTAATTTACTCATTTGGTACATTTTTGTAAAAAAAATTGTGTTTTGTAAGTTATTTAATTACAATTTAGATTCTTAGTGAAACTGAATATATCTGTTTTGGCATGTGTACATTGTTTTCAATAACTAAAAACCTAGAATTTCCAAACGGAAATGAAAATGGTATTTTATTGTTTTTTTAAAAATTCTGCCAGGGGAGTAGGTACAATTACAACGCGACTCAAAATATTATGTATCTAGTATATATATTACATATAGGTAGTTATTAAATTTGTTTTTCACTTACCTATTCATTTATTGTATAAATTAGTATATGTACTTAAAAGTAATAAAAGGTTGGGTATAATAGGGCAGTCGGGTAAACTGGGTTTTTGTAAAATCTGGTAACGTCTAACGCTGAAATTAATCGGTGACAATCAAGTTATAATTTATCAATTAATGGCTGATCAAAACATGGGACGTTTAAATGTCAAGTTGTCTTATCACAAATCACATTTTTATTGTTTTTATCATGTATAATATAGGAAAAATTCGGTGTTCACGAATTCGTATTTTCCGGTCACTACTTTTGTTTATTAAAAACAAGTTATTATTATTTTGTATTATATATTTAATCACCTTCATTTTTAAACAAACTTCACGTAAACGTTTTATCAAAGATTTAAAAAAAAAAACATTTTATGTTACTTTTTAGTTGTGGTTGAAATAAGGTAAGTAGGTATCTACCCCATTTTTACCAACAACCTAACCTAACAATAGACTAATATGTGTAGGTACTTTATAGGTACTTCATAAGTAATATGTGTAAACAATATTAATACATTAATTACTTTTATCTAGTACCTACTTGTTTTAATCATTACCTATTTTAACCAACCATGTGATTAAAAGGGGTATTTTTTTAAAAAAAATAAAAACGAAAATCCTGTTTAAGGACTTTTTATCAAATTAAAAACATAGATGTTTAGAGAACGTACAAGAGAGTCTTTTGGTTTAGAAAAATTTGTTAAGTTCAATAATTTTTGAAAGATTATAATAGCTGATTTCCTCAAGGGTCCCCATTATTATATTTAACCTTCCCCTATATGCATTTCATGGTAACTTTTTGAATTTCTTTGTCTTGAAAACTGAGAGGCGTTTGAAAAATTAATTTTTTTTTATCAGAGCCTAGATTTGATGTTTTACCCTCCCCACAAACCTTTAAGATTTCTAGCTTCGCTGCACTGTCCCACTCTATCAAGCACCAAAGAGGATTATGTCTGAAATAAAATTAAAGAAAGTCTCTTTCTTAATTCACACATTTTAATAATAATATTTGATACCTACCAATATATTTTAGACTATAAATAAAATATTTTAAATCTCTGATATGATACCAGATTATTCTTAAGTATTAAACTCATTGGAACCTGTTGTTCAAATATTAAACAACGAAGTTTAACGGTCTCTTCTCGATAGACAAATAATCGTCAAAATCGGACTATTTTACTAGGCATTGCAGTTTATTTTCCCGTAAGTTACGTTTTTGTTTAAAAAAACACGCTGACAACATTAGCGGACAATAACTATTAAAATTGTGCGGTCCTACAACGGATGTATAGCAGCACCATATTTTAATGGTTAACTATACGCTCAGCTATGAAAACTTAAAAATTAACTATTTCATAATTATAATAATTATGCGATAAAATATTCTGCTTACAGAAAACGAATTACAGTGCGTGTTGCTTGGTCAGTTAAAACAGTCTACGACAACGTATTTTATCGATTATTACAAATTAAATGTAATAAAGACACTGGTGAACTTCTGCATAGCAAATTAAATGTACAATTATTACAAATTACAATACAATTATTATGATAATTGGTAGTCGAATCGAATCTTATCACTAATAGACGTAGCCGTGGGTGCAATTTGAATTTTACCCTGAGAGGGGCATAACCATTGGCACCGAGTACAAGGGGACAACAGGGCCACCGCCCCACAGATTATTTCATGTTTTTAAACAAAAATATATACAGTAATAAATTTGACCCCCGCGAAATTGTTGAAACCTGACGCTCATGGGCACCATCCTTTAAAAAGAACAATCAGAAACCACATTTTCATCTATAACGTTGATGATTTTATTAATTATTTAATATATTTCAATGTTAAATTTTAGTTAAAAATTTATGATCCGTTTTGACCATATTCTATTATGTCTATGGTTTTGACAAAATATTCGATCAGTAAAGTATCAACTAAGGTGGCCAACTCATAAATTATTTGATTAGATTATACAATATTAATTGATTACAGTTACAGTATGACCATTTAATAAAAAATAAAATAAATACAACGATTTTTGTCTTATTGATCAATAATTAACTTTCAATAAACTTTGACTGTCATTTGTTTTAATTGAAGACAGGGCAATGGTGCATTATGTTTATACACTTAGCTCCCTCTAGCCCCCTCCGAATTGCGTCTATGGATGTAATCAATGTTAAGACGGACGTAATTATCACACACAGACGACCAATGTTTCTGTTGTAATATTACATTTTTAATTTCAATACTAGTTGAATTAAGCAGGTATCCATTATTTCTTGAATTCAATCTTTCAAAAAAAAAAAAAAAATAATAAATTCAATTTAACGTGTCCCCCAGTTTCTACCCTTATTCCTATCACAGTTAATCGATCGTTGTTGTCCTACAATATTTATCGTTTTAAAATAATACTTGTTTCCTTGTCTGTGACGACCATATTAAATAAAAATAATACGACTTTTTATCTGATCGCCTAGGTAATCAATATAAATTAACACCTATACCTGTATATGAATAAATCGTATAAATTTAAAATAACGAAATCGGTAACGATTGTGGGAAGTTGAAAAGGTAGGATACAAAGGGAATTCAATGTACATTTGAAAGCAACGATAAACCATTGCTTACGAAAAAACGATTCTGAGTGGAGTTTAGTTAATAGTGATGTCAACAATATATGACATATTATGGTAAAATATTAAATAATTAAATAGGCATTATTTATTTTCCTTAATAATATTTGTTTAATATTAATCTGATTTCCCCGTTTTTCTTACGATTTTCCAACGTTTTTTTCCCGGTTTTTCACATTTGCTAGGAAAACTCTAGGAAAAATCGAAAAATGACCTTTCCAAAGTACCTTCCCAATCAGATTTCCTTTTAGAAAAAATGCTAATTATTCGATATAAAAGTATGATATAAAATTGTGTATTTTGTATTGAAACGATTGATGCAACAAACAAATTTAGTATTAGCCAGCTATTAGAGCAAGCTCATAATATGGGTTCTTCGGCATTTATCTTTCAAAATTTCATCGGAATGGCGACAACGTGACGGTTATTTTATTGTAATTTATAAGTAGATAATCTTTTTTAATTAACGTATAATAGTGAAAGAGATGACACCGCTGATGGGTAAAAATATGGAAAGGTTGAATTTATAGGGACATAGGGTAAACAGTTTTTACATAAAATTGAATGTATACAAAATAAAAAAAAACTTAACAATTTCAAATGGCTATAAATAGCTCAAGAGTAGAATATTTTAAAATTTTTACCAGGTCTCGAAAGATCTAATAGGTGTTCTGTATACATTTCAGCTTTTTACATTATTTTTAACTGAATAACAATAATAAAACAAACTCAAAAAATAACAGAAATCGTTATTGCACCTAAATTATAATATTATTTTTCCGAATAGTTGTTTCCTACTCTTTCTGAATTATAAAGAAAACTACAAGAAAAATAAAAAAATTACCTCCTCAACGTATCAACGAGATTCAATTTTCTATCAGAAACTAGATCTGAAGTTGATGATCAGAGCAAGATTTATGGTAAAAAAAAGTTGTTTATTGCAGACAGAATAAAAATCTGATGTACCTACTTCATACCATTATTGGTTATGAATGTTTTTATCCACAAAATGACTGGGTAAATAAGTTACGTTTGAATTATAAAAGTGAATTTAAATAATTTAATTACAGTTAAGTCGATATAACGATTATTACCAGCAACAAATTAAAAAGATCGTTTTAAAAAAGTTGACCTCACCATCCTAAAATTTTCCAATGGCGTACCTACCCTTTGACTGAAAATTTCAGAAATACTCGTAATAGGCACAACATTTTCATTTTAGTTACCTTTTCTTTTTTCTAACCTAATAAAATTACAAAGAAAATGAAAATAAAAAAAAATTCAAACTCAACCTTATTGTCTCTACACAAAAGACGAACATCGCTACAATACAATATACTTACATCAAGTTACATCACTTAAGAAATAAGACGTACACGTTCTCGAATTATTTTAAAGAGTATATTGTGTGTTTGAATTGTTAACACACTATAATATTATTATATTCGAAGCGTAAAGCGAATTTCTATGTACAAAATGCGAATCGTCTATATATTATACGCTGATCATATTACGTGTAGATATATCATGTAGAAGTGATCCCGTATTTGATTTTGTCGTTATTCTCTAAGTATTATTATTTACTGTTATATATGAACAAACGAAAAAACCAATTGGTCGTTTAACCTTAAAAGTTAAACTTTTTTTTCTTTATACGTTGTCACCCGGCTAGATAAATGGGATTACAAATTTCCAATATCAACTTAACGAATAATAGCTGTCTTCTCTCTTGGTTCTTATATTTAGACATTAGTATTTATATTGTATTTTAGAATACCTATATATTTTGATGACCTTTTAAAGGTTTGATGAATTGCTTAACAAAGCTAAGTCCATATCATTTTATTATGATTATATTTTATACTGTTTATATTATAACGTATTAATAAGTATAGGTACGCCAATAAAATAAAATATTTTATACAACACTGCAATTAGGACAATATCACCTAAATAATTACTATTTAATTATAGGTTACTCAATCTGAATATATGTCCTAGAGGGATTCATTTTAAACCAATTTTTTTTTTAGAAGACGTCGGATCTGCATTTACCTTCTCTGCCTATTTTGGACAATATATCAAATATTTATTACTTTATTCAGACCTCGTTAGTCGTATAAACTTGATTTTAGCGCCGGACTAAACATATTTATTTGATAATTTGACAAACATAATATTAGAAGTAGATATTAGTAAGTACCCTGAGTATGCATTGTTCAAAAAACTGCGTAGAAAGTAGGTGAGAATGTTGCACCTGATAATGCCAGGATTACCATTCGTTAAAAGTCAAAAGTCTATTGGGGTCAGTAGAATTATTTTTGATTTGGGCCGGTATTACTTATTTTTTACTTATTATAATTTTAAAATTAATATTTTTATTAACACTTATAATTTTAATTAAAGTTTAGAAATAAGAACATTGTTGTACTTATACTGCAGTTTTTAACCTCCACAATGATTTACAAATCAATAATTAAATATTTGAAACACGTATATTGCACACGTATATACCTCGATAGTCGATAGATACTATCTAATAATACAAATTGTATCTTAATTTGAGATTTAAATGTTGATATTAGTGAGTAGACTCCACTCAATGAAACTGAAAAATATATTCTGCATTTTCTGCCGCTCAAGTACTTTTCCACTAAAACTGAAGTATTCGAGTTCCACCCTTGTACTTACTAAGTAACTATTTTTTTTTTTCATGTAAGTTATAGTAATAGGTAAACAATTTTTTCATATTGAAATAGAATCGGAGTTAGTAAAAATTAAGGATTAAAACTTTTTCATTTACAATTTTAAATAATAACAAATTTGAACTGTAAAACAATAGAAGCCGCTTATTAGGAACACTTGTAAGTTTGAACACTTGTTTCACTTGAAGTGAAACGTGTAAATTAACCGATCGTTTCTAATAAACGATTGGTTTTAATATACAATTGATTTAATATACGACCGGTCCATCCCTATATATTTTGTTTCAATAACGCGATTGTATCAATTATCCGTGTTCCTAATAAGTGGCTTCTATTGTACTTAAATACATTCAAAGATATTATAATTAATAAACACTGAATTCTTCTAAAAAACGCTGTTTATGATAAAGATTAGGAGGTAAAATATCTATAATATAGTATCATCAGAATTGTTAAATAAATATCTATATTATGAAAACTTAGTTTATATTCTATCTATAGTGTTAATATAAAAAAAATATAGGAATACAATTAGCTAATTTTAGAAAAAATAACACTGTTTCCAACAAATCATGTTTATTTGCACACATAAATTAAATCATGTTTTTATTCTAAACATTCAAATAATTTTGTAATACAAAAATAAATAAAACAATATTTTATTGTATGCTCATTTTATAAAAAAAGTTTAAGTATCTAAAAAAATGTATAATATTATATTAAATTATAATTTATATAGTAAATATTATATAATAAAATAACACATATTCAACAAACGCACTTAAGCCACATTTTTTTTTTATTCAAAACAGAAATGTATCAAATTAAGAAAAAAAAAAGAAAGGACTTAAATTTTATATTCGATAGACTTATTTATCTTCTATATTGTCGTCACATGGAATGTGTTGTTATTTTATTAATTATTAATGTATTGCTTTTAATTTATTGTTTTAATTGACAATACTACAGTTTTAAGAATATATTTGAGCTCTAAACATAATAAATATATTATATGAAATAAATCTATAAATAAATAACATGTTGTCCGAGAATCTATATATTGTTTTAATAAATAATGTCCTAACAAAAAAAAAATAAAATATAATAATAATCATAATAAAATAAAATTCATAATTTAAAAATGTTGGTAACTAGATTTAGAAAAAAAAAATTAAATCACAAAGTTTTTTGCTTGTTTTACAAAACGAAACTGATTTTGCTAGATAACTTCAGTTATTAATATTTACTTAGTAAAAAAATGAATACCGCGAGGCTTTTTAATATTAATCACAATAAAAGTTAAAAAAAAATAAAAACAATCCAGTCATTAAAAAAGTTGTAACTATAATGGTACATATTAGTATTACCCACCCTGTTCATAATCATTGGTTTTCCAAATAGTAATAATACAGGGCTTTGGCTATCACTTTTTTTTACATTAAAAAAACATCTTTTCATCGCAGTTAATTTATTTTAAAAGTTGCTGTAATACAATATTTATTCTGTTTTGTGAATCGATAACCATTCAAATTTATTTAAAAAATCGAGTGTTAAGGGTCAATAAACAGAAATCATATTTTTCGGATATACAATGTAAAATCAATTAAAAAACAAAATATAAATACTTAGAAACATTAGATTTGTTCACTGCTTCAGTAAACGAGTGTTATGCTATTATTTTATATATCTATCTACATAATAATATTAGAAACATTAATCTACACACACATACCTTCGAATTTGAAGGTCTCCCCCTATAATGTGGCTTAAGCGTATATCATAGTGTATAAATATAAAATGTAATTGTAAGTACAATAACGAGTGCCCAACTAAGTATTATATTTTACTCTTAAGTTTGATAGAAAAACTTCAAGGGTTTATATAATTAAAAAATAATAATAATTATAATCGGTATATCTAGGTGTATCGATGTAAAAATTATCACTGGAGGGGGATTCTCTGTTTTTATCACAGTACAAAAAAAAATAAATAAATCAATGGAACTTCACCTACTCTCCGGAATGTGGAAACAATGACGGTCTTTGTCAATTATTGTATTATTATTATAATATATAAATAAAATTTTATGTTTAAAATTAATTATTGTCTGAAATATTTTAGCACCGTTTACATAATACACTTTAAAATAGTGTAGTCTAACGCGTTTTAAAAATCGTCTACACATTTTATTAAAAAGTATTATAAAACGTAATTTACATTGTAAAATTAGAGGTATATATTATATAATAAAATTTCATTTTCACGAAGTGTGTTCCTTTTGAAATGTAGCAAAATTTCCGAAGAAAAATGTGTGTGTTGTTCTATTTGTTTTTTTTTTATTTAGATGGCCATTGGTAGTGGTTTCAAATGCGCTATTGAACTCATTCTTCTTACTTGTCTCACCGGACCTTTGCCCACGCCAGTTAAATTGCGTTCGATGTCTTCTAGACTCTTGCCTTGAGTTTCCGGCACGCAAAAAATAATAAATACTAAACCTAACAAGCAGATACCGCCGAAAAGCCAGAATGCGCCGTCGGCGCCAAAAACTCTCAATAGATCGGCAAAAGTCTTGGTGACCACGAATGTACAGGCCCAGTTGAAAGCAGTTGCCAAAGAAGCTGCAGTACCTCTGATTTTGGCTAAAAATAAAGTATTATTTAAATTAGTCCAATTAATTTACAACTTTTATTATTATTATATTTGTATCATGCGATATAAGTAATAGGTACTCTAATATTTACCTGGCAAAATTTCGCCCATCATTAGCCAAGGAATCGGTCCGAAGCCAATAGCAAAGCCTATGATGAAAAACACGAAACTGGCCAATGGCAACCATCCGTAATTGGATACGTCATAACCGCTTTTCTTGTAATTGAAAAATGTACCGAGTGTGATGAGTGTGATTGCCATGGTCGCACTGGAAGCGTACAACAATATTTTACGACCGAGTTTATCAATAAGAGCAGTCGCTATGAACGTGGATATGAAGTTAACAACACCAACAATGATCGTACATAAGTTTTCATCAATAGTGCTTCCCGCTTCCTAAACAAATTAATATTGTCACATTTATATAGTAATCGTTTTATAGACGTATTTAGTTGAACAATTTAAGTATAGGTGCATACTTTAAAGATTTTGACGGTGTAAAAAATGACGGCATTTATTCCGCTGAGTTGTTGGAATAACATAAGTCCCATGGATATGAGTAGAGGTTTTGAATACATTTTAGAGAACAGGCTTAGGTACCCGGGCATCTCTTCGTTTTTGCCTACGTGATTGGCTTTTTCAATCTCGCTAAATTCCTGCGTTATATCGGCATTCTTTCCCCTCAGCCATTGAAGAGCTTTTTTCGCTTTCTTGCTTTTATCTGCACACGCAAACAAATAGGCAATTAAGTAAAATTTCATTTGATGAAATACATAATAATATGTCTATATGAGTCCAACTCACTTCTGCTGATGTACCATTGTGGAGTTTCGGGGATTAGGAACATGCATATCAGAAACGGTATTGGAATACAAGCGCCAAGAATGGCCAACATTTGCCAGTTAAGGTATTTTCCAGCAATGAAACACAATAATATTCCACTGTTGCCAAGTGTGGTAGGCAAAAGACCTAATGTTCCTCTGACTTGAGGTTGGACAGTTTCTCCTAAATACACCGGAAGACCTAATGAAGCAATTCCTACACAGAATCCGGCGATGGCCCGTCCGGCCATTACCATTTGCACATTAACAGCCATTGCTATCAAAACAAAAGCTGCAGAAAAAAACAATAATAATAAAATAAAATAAATTGTATATGTGGTAAATCAATTGTGACATTCTAAGGTTATTATTCAATCAAATTGAAATATATTTTTCCTGTTTGTATTACAATAAATTAATAATTTAGTGAATAAACAGGAAAAAGTATTCTGAATTAAAAAACACTCGAGTTATAAATTATACTATAATATTATAATAATACAAGAGGATGAAAAGTAGGTTAGGTTATAAGTACCTATGCGGTTGGGCCTAGACCTAAATCCAAATTTATTACGAAATCGATATTTATGTAGGATTAGGTATTATAACACGTAATAATATTTAATATTAAACTTACAGATAATGAATGGTATTCCAGTAGCAAGAATCGTGGTTTTTCTACCAATGGATTCGATAAGGGGTCCGCCAGCCATGCCGCCGATAAGTGCTGCCAGTGGCATAAGACTTCCAATCCACGAGCCCTGTAATCAATCAATCGACAATTCAACACATTAATATTGTTTCGTAGACATGTTTACGACAAACTACAGGATGATAGGTACTTACTTCTTCCTCGCTTACGGATAGCGTACTACCCGGGGAGTTCATCGATGGTAAGGCGGGTGACGTGTAGGCAGACGCGAATCCAACTACCATAGAGCATAACGATACTGTTAGGGAAGCGAGAATCTATAAGGAGAAGAAAAAAAAAATGATTTATTTTAGTTGTCACAGACCAAGGCGAAACATTGTAATATTTGTCCGTTGTCGTATAACAAAAAGTTACAGGCGTGGCGTAACAAACATTTTTTTTTTTTTGTTATTGATAATTTTAAATTTATAGAATTGAATAGTCAAGACTACTCGTAAAAAAAATTAAAAAAACATTTGTCGATATATAATGTGTAGATAAAAATTACGAGCATACAAAACGTGTAATACAGTAGCAAAGAATAATACTTGTATATTTTATTACATGTGGATGCGATTTTATTTTGTAAAATTAATTATTTTAAAATCGTATAATATAATGGCAGATTCATTTTTTTATTGTTATTGTACCTATTTCAACTCGTTACGATGTGGATATTTTTAGAGATATGAATCTTTATAAAGATTGATTCGTTTTCGCATTCTTTATAAAAATATGTGTATAGCGTATACGGTATATTCCACGCAATGATTATAATCACTCGTGGTAAAATTACCGATTTTCAACAATAACACTTATTAAATCGATATAATTTTTCGTCGAAGATTTTAAGTGTATAAATTATACCTATACCTAGGCTATATAGTTTTCGTTTGCGAAATAATAAATCGCAAAATGATTATCTCGCACAGTGATTTATGGATACGCGAAATGATTATACGTCCATGTCATACGCGTATACAATTCCGAGTAAAAATTTCAAGTTTGAAAAAATGTGAAAATTAAATTTTAATAATGTATCGTATTAGTACACGATATACGGCGTGCGAATTATAAATACCTAACACGTTGGACCAAGGTCGTATTGCGGTGGATGAAAGATTTATATTGATGATAATATTACTGTAAGATGTGAAGTTCATATTTATTACTGATTATCACAAAAAAAAAAACTACCGCGGTATGATATTATACCTATAGCCGATTGATTTTGCAGATCGATTCAAATCGATAACGTTTCGGTTTATGAAACTATTCGAAAATATTATAGACAGATTTTGAAGTTTTTCGAAAATACCGTAGAGAAATGTATGATGGGATTAGTTAAACGTTTCATTTTGTTTCTATGTAAATGTATAATTCTCGTTAAAAAAAAAAAAAAATGAGGCTACATGGTGACGTTTTGATAGCTATTCATATAATGGTTGTTTATTTTGTTCACTATCAACGAGTTGGCTTAAACAATTAAATCTGACTGAAGACTGAATTAGATGATGTATTGTACAGAATATTGTAAAACAAACAGAAACCATTACACGTACGAATATATGTTTAAAAATACGATTATCTAAATAGGTGTAGGTTTTAAAATTAATAATTATTCACAAAGTTATACGGTCGTTTTTTCGTATTTTTGTATATTTTATACTTATACATCATGACTAACGTAAATACGTAGCATTGTATTTGACAATAATAATATTATTGAACGTCGTACTTAGACTAAAAAAAATCGCTAACTAAAATTAATTTGATTGCATATTGCGTATATAGGATACGATTGGCACATTCCCAAAGTCACTATATTATCGCATTTTGTCATTCTATTCGGAATTTGTCCAGAGTGAACAGAAAAAAAAAAAAAACCACAAGTCCGACTACGATATTTTCGTATAAAAATATTAACGATCGAAATAATATAACGATCCAGAAGAAAAAGTAAATCATAGAATTTAATGACGGATCCGGGTGTGTATGTATGTATACGTAGGTATAAACGCTCTGACTTAGCTCGTATTTTTTCGAGGTCCCGTACAAAGGATAATTTGATATTCGCCGAATGTCTTGGACTATTAGGCGAATAATATCGTCGGATGTCTATAACCTTACTCTTCGTGCGTCTTTCACTCGCTGGACAATTGAACTTTGATTTGAAGAGCGCGGAAATCACTACACCCGCGTGCTATACTACAATAATAATAGACTGACCAGATGCCGGAACATTTACGGTTTTTTCGGCCTTGCTATATATAAATATTATATACATATAGACGATCGTTACAGGAGTTTTTCGGCTATAGGCGCCTATGATATCATGTTAGCCCTCCGAGATCGTGATCATCATTTTGAGCGCGCGCTCGAGAGACCCCCGACAATAGGCGCCAAATGAAATACCTGTCACTGTAGATATAGTACGCGCTGGCCTCGAAATTGGCTTTGAATCAAAAGGATATTTTATGTTTTAGAATTTGAATCTACCGTGTAACGATACACGCGCACTGCATCGGCAGAGAAACATATTTAACGTTCAGACTCGAAAAAAAAAAAAATGCTTGATTAATTATATAAAATACGCACACAAAACAAAATTGGACGAAAAAAAAAAAAAGGCAAAAGGTAAGGTTAGGTTATTTAATATTTTCCTACATGCGATATTATTACGGTCACGGCATATTATTAATATTATTAAAAAAATATACGATGCGTGAAAGTATGAAATTATTTCGCCGACGTACAACAATGTTTATGATATTATTAGTTTACCTAGTTTATAATCTCATTAAACATATTATTTTACTCGGCCGTTAAATACACGGTCAAAACGTTTAACTGTTTGTTAATTTTAGAAATAGCTATATGGTTTTTTTCCTCCGAAATTCAGCGATGTTCAATCAGTGGTGTAACTAGAACTTCTAATGTTTGTGATGGCAAAATATTGTATTAAAGCCCTAAAGGCCGAAAGGGTCTTTCAAAAAGACCCTCATTTGTTGTTCAATAGTGTCTTGGACCTTGGTCTAGGGCATTACTAGGGCATTTAACCAAAAGAGTTACATAGAACAGCGATTGTTTATTTTTAAGTAATTGTCAACACAGAGATGATTCGTACATTATTGATCTACATAAAATACAGATGGCCGAACTTGGATTAGATTCAGTCAATAAAATATAAAATTACGATTTTTTTTCGCATTTTGTATCGTGAAATATGCCAATATATGCGAAACAAATTTCCGATATTTCGATGAATACGGACATCGTGAAACACATTTTTATGTATATAAAAATGAAAGCTATATGGGGAAACCAGAAAAAAAAAAACAACCACGTCATAAACATCCGAGCCCTAAATAATCTTCTATGACTATAATCGTACGGTTCCACCGTTAAAGCCATAACGCGATTTACAAATATTTCATTAATTTATCCTGCGAAATTCTTCCGACAGATCCGTCATTTAATCGAATATTTAGGAAGGTGCAAGGTTGTACAGATACAATCGGAGTGTACCTATTGTTATTACTCGTATATGTTTGAACAAAGTGTGTTGACGCGGCAATAAACAATAAGAGAGCTCGTTTAAATATTAATAAGATTATAGATTATTTTATAGGTTATCGAATTCGATTGTGCGTTCAATGATTCGCGAACAGCCCTTCGGACACGTCGTCGTCGTCACTCGTCCTCTCATTGCCATCGTCCGCGTTGTTGTTGTTGTCGTGTTTATATTATAGGTACGACCGACTCGACTTTTATTAAGGAGATCGTGTGCGATGTGTACGACAGCCGTTCGTGCTCGTGCATATTATCGCGGAATTAACACGCCGTACTTGATTAATTGATTAATATAATAACATCGTAATAAACAATTAACAATTCGATCGATACACCGAGAGGATTTGTCGACCTCGACACGGTTATAAATAATAGGTACAAAACAAAATTGAAAAAAGTAAACGAAAAAAAAAAAATTTACACCTACGCAGCACGGGCACTCGTATATCTTCGGATCTCGGGCACACACGGGTATTTCCCGTGACATTGAACGAATAATATCATCACCATTGTGGTCAAGAATGAAAGGACCCGGATGACGAACGCGTCGGACTCGGGGGCGTGTAATATTCAGTAAACCCGCATAGGTACTGGCGCACGTTACATAAACAACATTGTTGAATCGACTTTGTGAATTCTGCGATTTTCGTTGTACGAAAATACGTGAACTAAGAGCCCGCGCAGCTGTACGGTTCTTTGCGAGACCGACCGGGCCGTGGGCGCATATTCCGGAAAAGCGGCGCAAATTCCGGGATCCGGGATTGCGTATTAGGCACACACGTACGTGTTTAGAGAAACATGAAATTATAACGGAAACGACTGTACGAGAGCGCGAGAATTCTCGTGCGGCCGGCAGTGGATCGGCTGCGTGAAATGTCCGGTCCGGATCGTGAAATTTGTCCGGATCGTGTACATTTTACCGAAAGTTTCTACTGAATGGTAAACACTATGATATTATGTACTTATGCAACCCATACCCTGTTCGGAAAATCGCTGCCGAGTTTTTCCATACCGTTTTTAGTATTTTTTTTATCATTTTTACATCTGCTGTTCGGAAGTAAACGGTTCATAAACGATTTGCGGGATGGCGGAAGAATCGAAGAGACCTAATCGATTTTAGACAAATGCGCTACAATACGTCTGTCTGATATTTATAGACTTCGAATATTTATATTGTTGAGCACGTCAGGTTTCTAGGATGACAACGGGAAATGATAAAAAAAAAAAAAAACCAACCACTATTCCGACGACGCGCCGACCAGACAAACTTACCGCGGGACGTTTGTGATTAATTTCGGAAATTCGTGAACGGACGGGGGGTGCGGCGGAGAGGGGTGGAGATCACGCATCGGAGTGAAACGGACGCGGACATTCGCGGTCCGCTTTTCCCGGGATGGTCTAAAACAACGGAGTCTACGCGTATTGCGTTTATGCGTCATTGACATGTGGTCTGCGGTTAAGATTGTCGCGGAAACCGAGCTTTCGGGAAAACGGCCCGCGGACGGGCCTCGGGCGAAAAAGACGGCGCGATGCGGTGCACAGAGACGGAGATGCGAAGAAAGTGGGCCCGTCGCCGCGGCAGGACGTGCGGCGGCGGCCGGGTGGAGTGGCGGGAGGGTGCAGGCGCGTCGGAAGCGGCGACGGTCCCGTAAAAACGGATCGTCGGAAAGGGGAAGCGGACAACGTCACGCGAGATGTATGCGCGATGCACGTTACGTCTCCGGCGGACGAAAATCCGAAAACCCGGCGTTCGCGATGCGTGCGAAATGCGGCGTGAACGAACCGCTGCACGCACCGCGCGGGCCTCTCGCGGCTATTATAAGGCCGCGCGCGGGTATTGACGCGAGACTTTTGGCGATGACATTCGTTAGCCGATTATCGTCGTTTAGGCCCGTCGCCGCGCTCGTTATTGAACGTTTCTCGCACGCATATTATACACGCGCGCGCATCCGTACCGGTCGTTATTTATAAATATAATACGATTGTGCCGAGCGCGATGGCCGACGAGAGAAGCGCGTTTTCGTTTGTTTTTTCAGCTCGCCGCGCACGCGTGTTACGGATACCCGTGTGCGTGCCTGCGCGCACCTACGCCCGCGTGTGCATAATGTTGTACTCGAGCGCGAAACGGCGGAACGGGACTAATTGCGAGCGTGTCGCGCGTGTATTAATTGCACTGCGATATACGCGCGCGCGCGTACGGGTCGCGGAGGACCGCGGCCGACGGGAATTATTAGCGCAAACAAAACGGCCGACGCGCGCGCGCGCGCACACACACACACGCATTGTACGCACACATGTGCACCGGTAACGCGTACGGATCGTCATCGGTCGCGCGTGCGTGGCGAACGCAATACAATTAAATCGTTTCGATAACGCGCGCGTTTCGCGGAACGGGCCCGCGGCCTGTACACAGTCGGGGGCGGATCGCGATAATATAATATTCCCGGGGCATTTCGACGGGCTCGGAAACGGGCTTTATTTTTAACTCGCGGCCAGACCGCGTATGCGGTGGACGAGGGGAAATCGGTATTTTTAAAAAACCCGCGCGCGCGGTTTGATTAAAACGAGCGCGTCGCGCCGGTACTTGTACACGAGTCGCCGCGGGAGAATAACGGCTCGTAAGTAATGTCCGAGTAAAAGTATACGTACAAATATCCCAATACTTTCTCAGCATATTTGAATACGCGAATTACTGCGCGGACGTGCGTTTACGAAAACCGCACTCGCGGGAATTGCGCGGTTCAGAGTCGAAACAAAGTATCCGGCAATTCGTGTAAATAGTATACTTTCCAAAGACGTCCGCGTACGGATACGCGGACGTTATACGCGCATTCCGGATACTTTTCGTAGCAATTTATACAATATAATACGTTGTGTACAGGACAATATACGATGTTCTGTGTACACATTTTCAGGCTACGCGCTTTATTAGTTTTTCAATAAAACTTTAAAAAACAATGATAAAAGCGCAAAACACCGCGCGCTCCGGCGAATTTTTTTTAACCGTCTCGCGGCACGTCTTGATGTCGACTCGACGTGACCGGACTCGGTTACTATATTTCTTTTTTTCAATACGTTTCTATAATAAAAACGAAGGGGCGTCCCGACGCTGATTTGTTGGTCTCCTATATGAATAACACAAGGACCGACCTGATAATATACTGGCGTTTATCGTTCCAGGAAATACATTTGAAATATATCATCGTTATTATATTATACACGAGTGTCTTCCACTCCTCCCCCCCCCCTAGGGGGGTGAACGCGAAACAGCCCGAAATGAACTCGGCGTTCGCCGCGGGCTCGACATTTTATATTCTCGGGGCGTGTATAATAACGACCGCTCGAGACCGGATCGGCCGGCGGTCACTGCAGTTACCGGTGGACTAGGTAACGGTAACTGCTATACGCATTTTTTAAAATATTTGTTTAATTTGTTAAATTATTACAATCCGGTTCATACCCAGTTTCAGCTCTCGCTCCCGTTAATTTCCAGCTTAACGAGCCCGTCTCGCGGTCGTCGCATACGTGTTTGGAAATTAAAATCCACTGTATAAAGTTTTAGTCCGACCGATATTATCGGTTCCATTTTAATATTGCCGGCTAACGGGCCGAAAGTCCGTTTTCTCGAATAAACAAAATTCGATTTCTGCAGACGTTTCGCGAACCCAACGCAACCCGCACGCAATACCCGCACGTGGAACTCGATTATGTTCGTTTTTTTCTTTTCCTCGATCAGTTTCAACCGCGCCACGTAATAGAATTTTCGTATTTTTTTTTTTTTTTTTCGGATTGCGAGTCATGTACTCGTATTTTCTATTATACGTAAAAAGGCCAAACGTGCGGATGACGTCAAGAGGCTATTTCGCGATAACGCTGAATACGCGCCGTCGTCACCCATCGGGGTGCGGACCGCGCTGCGCGGCGTACGCGTATACACGCGGCATAATACGTATTACGGTCGGTTCGCTTTCCGGTTGTCCGCGGGATACTCGGGCCGTCCCGCCGCACCCGATGGCCCGCCCGCCGCGGGCGCGCGAAGTGGCCGCTCGCGAGCCGTGCGGCAAGTGTGGCGAGGCGGATATTTTGAAAAATCTAAAAGGGTGTCGTCACGTGTATAGGCCTGTGCGCCCGTTCCGCCTGCGTTGTTCTCGTTGTAAATTGAAATGCTATTTCGAACGAAACGCACGCGATATAATAATACACACACGCCATTTCTTATGCCTACAGCAATTGTAAACCGATAACCGATAAACTTTTCATTTACCACCGTGCGTACATAATACACATGTTATAGTCACTATACAACTGTGTCTACGTATCCGGTCGTACTGCGCACGTTTCGATCTCTGATTTAACACGCGTCGACAGATGGATACGTTTGTCGATAATTTTCGATCGTCAGCGCTCGTTGTCCGTCATTAATATTGTTGAAACGAATCTGTTCGCCGGCTAGGTAGGTGTATTGACGAACTATGAAAGTGCACTAAAACTTTTAACCACGACTTCTATGTACGTATTATATCGCACAATAACGCGACACAATTATGAAGAAATTCTCGTCGGAGACCCGACTCAACAAATATCTGTTTAATAAAACGTCTGGAGTCACTGGATGTCTAAAGGGAACTATCATTGATGTTTACGGCCGTATTATCCGTGTTACCCGTTAGGGGGAAAAAATAACGGGGGCACGTTAAAATTTGGCCAGAAATAGGAGAACCGAGTCCCATTCCACTTGAAAGACTATATATATATATATGTATGTATGTATATATGTGCATTATACATGTTTCGAACGGAATCAGTGTTGGGATTTAATTAAACGTTTCCGCGCGTTCGTAATAAACTGGATAATTCGCGTTTTTTTATTGTGTAAGAAGCCGGTAGCGCGGAAGAGCCGCCGCGGGATTTCGCGCTCTCCAACGCGTCGGCTATTGTGTTCGTTCGCTCCCTCGACTCTACGCGTGCGATTTTCGCCGACGTCGCGGAAAATTCGCGCGGGGACGGGAGCACTTAACCCATTGTCGAATGACGCCAAGCGACGGCGACGGGAAACGGCCGCGGCGAACGCACGGCCGAAAGACAAAGGACGTGGCGGGGCTGTATGCTTTTACACACACGGGGGGGTGACTGATAAACGCGCGCGATCTCCGCGTTTGCCGAAACCGTCGGATTCGCGTGCCCGTCGTGTCCGGGGGTTGCGGCGGATCCGTGCGAAAACCGCGTACGGCGCCCCGGGACGGGAAAAACACTAGGACGGAAAACCGAGCCCCGGGCGTCGAATCTACACGGGGATTACGCGGGTAGGTGTCGTCGTTATTAATTGACGCAGCGCCGTCTTTTGCCGCCACCCCCCGCCGCCGGGCCCGGATCGCACGCGCGCGCCGGTAAGCGAAATCCGTATAATACGAACACGCGGAAAATCGTAATGATTTTAATACGGCGAACGGTCTAATGCGGATTTCGACGTTTCGCATATTAATTCGATATTAACAACGATAGGAGGAGAAAAAAAAAAAAAAAATACGTACAAAACGAAACCTGACGCCGCGTAATAAAATACAGCGGCGACGATTTACTTATCGCTAGAAAAAAAAAATACGCGCGTGTTTTTTCCTTGTGACGTCGGGCGGGACGCGGCCGCGACCGTGCACGCAGATTAATAGAAATATTCGAAAAATTGAATAATATATATTGTTATAACAATAATACGCATTCGAGTGCGCGGCCCGGTACCGACGATTTCAGCGCGCGCGCGCGGCCGAATCGAAAACGATACGATAATATCGTGATTAACTATTATCGCGCGACGCGTGTTTTTACGCCGTTCGAAAATGCGCCGCGCTGTGTACGAATGTCGGTAACGCGCGCGCGCTCTGCGGCTCTGCGCCGATCGTTTTGGAAACATTGGTAACCGATAATTAAATTATTGTCGTCGAAACGATCGCGCGCTCAAAAACCCACACGTACGCGCTGTACGTATTAAAGAGGCGGCCTGCGTTTAAAACTCGGGACAGACGCGCGTTATTACGTGTAATTGATCATTATTATTATTGTTATTATGACGGAAACCGCGTTACTGCCTAGTGACAGCGGTATCGGGTATCGACGGAACGTATACAGAAAAACAAAAAAAAAAAAATAATAATATTTTAAAAATCCGAAAGCACTTGCGACGGACAATATTATATACTACGGTCGCACGGTCTCCGCCGGCGTTACGTTTTTACGATCGCGTCGTATTACGATGGGCGAAGACGATTCGCGTACGCAATAATAACCCGTAAACCGAGCCTCTGGACGTCAAGAAAAAAAAAAAAAAAAAAACAACCCCGACGCTACCGCGAAACAAAACCGAGTCGTCGTTGACGCGTTTTCTATAATGTGAATAAAAAAAACTACTCCTACGCTACACGTAAATGCGAATATAACGAGAGAAAAAAAAAAAAAAATCGCGTAATAATACGGTTATTATTGTTATCGGTTATTTACGATGGTTTTTTAATTTTTTTTTGTTCACCATCCGACAGTATTTGGCTCCGGTCGAACGGTTTACGAAAATTCGCCGTCTCCATACCTACACCGCCGTCGACACGAGTTCTGCGCGCAATATTTATACGATACGACCGAACGTCGGCGTCGTCGTCGTAAACACGTCCGCGCGGGATGTTTCGCGGTTTCGTCGTAAACAAACGTATATAAAAAAAAAAAAATCCGGGCGTCTGGTAAGAAAAGAAGAAGAACAAAACAAAAAATAATCATTTTTTTTTTTATTTTTTTTTTTCTTTTTTTTTTTTTTACCGAGAAACTATTTATCGTATTATTGTACACACCGCGGCGCACTCGGGCGAACGTGCCGTTCTCAAAAGTTTACGGTTGCGGCGGTCGTGCAGGCGCGTAGCTATGGACGGAACAGATGAATTTTAGTATAAAAGGCTCGTGATGATAACAATGCGAATCGGCGAAACGAAATTCGCGGGGTTCGCGAACGCGTCGTCGTCGGGGCCGGGGAGAGAGAGAGAGAGAAAAAAAAAACCCCGCGTTTTTTTTTTTTCCTTACCGAACATTTGTCGCGCGTGAAAAGTATTACGCGACGACGGATTGAACAAATAAATAAAATATTAGACAAAAATAAAAAATGTTTTATTCCGTTGAGATGTTGTCCGGTTAAATTACGCATACGTTTTTGTATTATATGCGTGTAACGAATAATACATTATTCCACGCTTCAAGTGTTAAAGTGTAACATCTTGCCGGAGCAAAATGTCAAAAGCGCGGTGACGTTACGATTTTTTTTTTTTTTTGAAAATAAAACGGAGACAAAAAAAAAAAAAAAATCAAAAAAAAATAAAACCGTCCGGTAACTTGTGGCGTTTTACCGATATTTTATCGTTTATTGTTATGTACCTGCGAAGCGTTTAACGTCGACTTGGGTGTCGGGCCGTCGTGGTGCACTACCCGTATGTGCCGGTGGGTGTCGGTCCTCAGCAACACCATTGTGTCGACGCGTCTCGGCGGCGGTGTCGAAGTTTCGGGCGCGTGGCTGCGGTGGTTCAGCAGCGAAGACGAAAGCGAAGACGATGGCGAAGCGGCGGAATAGTAACAGGTCGAGTCGAAGCTAACGACAGCGTGCGAGCGTGTGAGTTGCCGTCGCCTCCGATTCTGAAGCGCTTGTGTTCTGAGCGCGGTGCGTGCACCCGTACTAGTTATTGTAGCAGCAGCAGCAGCAGAAACGGTACGGCGGGCCGCGGTGCAGCCGTCAACGTCCGCCACCGTCGCCACCGCAGGCCGCGGCCGCCGCCGCAGCCACCGCCCTCGCCGCCGCCGCGGACTCTTCTTCCGCCGCCGCCGCCGCCTTCGCCTCCGCCGCTGCCTTCACGACGACGTGACCTCCGGAATGCCGCCACCACCGTGGCCGCGGACCGAGCACCACCATCACCGCCGACACCGCCGTATGCTGCACGCCGTGGCGATCGCCGTCGCCGCCGTCGTAGTCGTACGCGACTTATTTATTTAATATATATAACGACAATAATAATAATATTGTCAAATCGAACAATGGGCGTAACTCGTCGTAAAAGGTCGTCCGGAAACCGACGGCCGCGACGCGCGGTTTCCGGTGTCCCGACGGCGGTTCCCCTAGCTGCACCGGCGGCCGCGGACACCTGTACGATCAATTCGCGCGTCTTATAGCCGAATATTGTCATTACGGCCCGGAGACGGATTCTCGCGGGTCGCCCGAGCTCAGGACAAACGGACGTGACGGCCCTACACGTCTTCCGGACGCACAACAACTTCCGTTGTTCACCCGGTTAATTTTCGGACTTTGCCGGCTCTGTTCACGCCGACAGAAACGGATTTCCTCGCACGTCACGCGTTTTACACCTTTAGGCGAACGAGTGTATTATGAATACACACAGGAATAGCCTTTAATTAATACAGTGTTAATTAAAAGTGGCGATCGTTTTTGAAGAACGAAATCGTCGAAGACGAACCGGTACGAGTTTCGAGTCGATACGTATTCTCGCGCGGATTCGAGATCGTATCTTTGACGCGTTTTAAATTTAAAAAACAAAATCGCGACGACGGTTGAATTTTTATTATTGCGTTTTATCCGCCGTATGCAAATCGCGTATTATTTATTTGCTGGCCCTAACCGCGCGTTTAATCGTAACTCCGTAACGGATTATAATATTATACGGTGTTCGTCCGATCCGTTTCTATGCTAAAAAAAAAAAACCGCCGTACTGCCCTCTATACACCGCACAATAACCCACACTAAATTACAAACTCGATTTAATTAGAAAATCGGCCGATAGATAATCATAATTTATTCGGAATAACGCGCGTGTAAAAAAAAATAAATAAATAATAATAATAATAATAAAATTACGCACGAACCAGTTGTTTTTTTCAAATACATATTAAAAAAAATGTACCTACACCACGGCCACACGTAATATTGGTTTGAAGAAAAAAAAAAAAAAAAAGAAGAAAAATTAACGAAAATTAACCTATACCTACGCGCACCGCTCGATCGCCGACGGTTTCAGCGCGACTTAAAGACACAAAATGTTAATTGCCGTCGCGTTTAAAACAAATTGGTAGTCGTCGCCGTCGTAAGTAAAACGAGTACGATTTATGATAATTTTTCGTTTTGAATTTAATTACATAGCCGTGCGCCTCTCTACGCGAGGCCCCGCCGGCCGCGTTAACGTTTTACGCGCGGAACGCCCGAACGCGAGAAAACGCGAGCGGCGCGAAAAAAACAAAACTGCGGCGACAAACGCTCGCGCACCTACGGGTTTACGGATCGGTGGCGGTCGTCGCCGGGACAGCGCATTTTAGGGACACGCACCCTGCCCTGCCCCCCCCCCTCGCCCGTTACTTGGCCGGCGATCTCGACATTTCCCGGAGGCGCCGGAAGTCGAATTCCGCGTACGTCGGGTGCCTGCGAAAACCGTTGCGAGAAGTTCGCCCGCGGTCGCCGTAACGCCTCCGACGGAATCCGGAACCGCGTAAACACGGGGCGGCGGCGCGGCCGGGATTTTTTCTAGTGGTGAATGGGGGGGGGGGGTGAAGAGGGCGTTGTTTTTATTTCGCGTTTAGACGGTGCGCGTACGTAAAACTTTATCGTGTGCGTATAACGTGTACGCATGCCTATAGAGGCTTAGGGACTTAGGGACCAGCGTTGGCACACTTTCGCCGATAGAAGTAACAGGGTCAAACGGAAATCCCGCAGTTCGCGGCGCTGTACACGGAATCTACGGAATCACGGAATTCGATTGTGCACATTTTCGCACGTTTTAACGGGGGTTTTTTTTTCCCCCGTCATAGCATACCGTGTTAGCGGAACGCAGCCTTTACGTGCCGTTTGTTAAATTTTTAAAGCGTATTTTACCGCACATTTGGTTCTATCTTTGGTTCTACAGCACGCCGTGTAGAAGTCTGACGCACGTAACTGTGTAAGCAGTGAAAATTACGGCCGTCCGCATAAATACGGCCAAAGGCCCACACAGGTCTACGCCGCTGATACAAGGGACCGGGCGCGCGGGTTTTCCGAATTTCCTCTACGGTTTTCAACGACCGCCTCGAACGTTACGACAATAGCGGTGCGTAGCCACCCCGCGGTTTTTTTTTTTTGTATCTCGATCGTGAGTTAATACGCATATCCATCACCGACTGATCCGCCCTCACCCCGTCGGACCGCAATCGAATTACGAAATTTATCAATCCAAACGTCCGCCACCGCGCGATTTCGTTTCGGACCACGCCTACACGATACCCATCCGTGACGATAAAGCTTTTCCGCCGGTCCCGTTTAGTGGGTGGGGGAGGTGGGGTCGAGGGGTACGGACGCGACGACTTTACCGCGAGGACGGGGAAAACCCGCGTCATCGATAACTCGGTGTTTTTCGTACGCCGTTTCCCTTTTAAACCGACAGACGTCCAACTCGGGATTTTTTTATTCGATTTCAAATACCGGCGGCACATGCCCATAAGAAAACCGGCGGTAAAAAAGAATCTTGCAATCTTAAAAAAAAAAAAAGACGTCGTATAAAGAGATTGCGCGGATTGAAGTGCGGAGTTCGTATTATTAATAACGCGGAGGGGCCTTAAGCAGGACAAAACGCAAAGTCTCAAAATCGTTTTTCATTAGTTGACTTTATTAGTTTAGTCGCACTTATTGCATTGAACAGTACCCGTAAGTAATATTAAAACGGAGAACCGGTGACTTATATTACATTTATCTAATTTATTTAATAATACCGTCGCGAATCTGTGTGTGTATATTGTGTATACGGAAAAACGTAATGGGATACGAGAGAGAGTGAGAGAGAGAACGCCATACGTACCGATTAGTTTAGTTTCGCCCTCCTCCACTCACTTTTGGGTGTTTGTATAGGTAAGTGTATCGTTATTGTCGTCGCGAACTTCAACAACTGTTATATCCGTTTAAAGTCTCGCGTACATAAAGATGGACCCTTTATTGTTTTTGTTTTTGTTTTTTTTTTTTTTTTGTTTTTCTGCAAACCGTAAACTTTCTAAATGGACGCGATTTCCGCCGCGACGAGACGAGACTCGGCCGTATTATTCGTCGTCAGGTACGTTATTGGCTGCACGCTAATAGTTACACCCTCGAAAACACAGTAGTGACATTAGCGACACTAAATTACTACTATTCATGTGTTATAGTTATATATATATATATATGTGTATACATAAGTAGGTACGGTAACTCAAAAAAAAAATTCAAGGCGATGTTCGCGTCCGCGTTTGCGATGTTTATTATTTGTTTACTACGAGTTCCGCGGCATACGCATAAGTATATAATTGTTATGCAGTCTCGTTAACAACATCTATTCGGCGATATTTTTTTATTTTTTTTTTAATCTTTATTCTGTGCGCTGAATTTTTCTCGGATATTTTATCCGAATATAAGAGCACGTGTACGAAACGACCGAAAACGGAATCGTCCGGAACGTCGACCGCGCGAAAAAGTCGCACGGTCGCACGAAAATATTATGCTAATTTACGCGTTTACGAGGTTTCGGCGCAGGACTCGGGTTATAATAAACGATATTATATTTATACGACATAATCTTCTACTTATAGTGGCTATCGGACGTGATTGGAAAACCTAATCCTCCCTCTCGTATTTTCATTGCGTTTAGAAGTAAAAAACACATTCTATACGTGACACCAACGTTTATCAGATCGAAAAAATCACTTGTGCGACATTAAGAAAACATTATGTGCATGTTTGGCGAAAAAAAAATAAACCGTCGGTAAATTATAATAAGACCTCCCGTGACGCGAAACATTGAAAAATACTTCAATATATTTATATTTAATTATTGCTAGAGGGTCTTTAGCGCCGACCCCCCCCCCCCCCCCCCACCCGAAAACGGTAGTCTGGCAACGAAAAAATCGTTTTCATTTAGTAACCGACCACTGGCGGATCGGACGACTCGCCGCCTACAAGCGGAACGAAACCATTGCCGAAAGGGCTCGTCTTCATCGTCTTTACGGCGTCGGCGTCGATGAATACATAACGCGAAGTGCGCCGATACCGTCGGGAACGCGATCGTCTAAACGCGATTCCGAGACCTTTAAGAGTTCGCCGTTATACGTACCGTCCGTACATAAAGCTTTCGTTTAAAACGGACGCGCGGCATTTTCGGGAAGCGGATTCGCGACGCCGTTCGTTTTCTGCGCGGATGATAAACGCCGTCTACGAACTCGAAAACGGACCATTAACGATATCGACGCTACTCACGATTCAGACGACACGTTTCGGTCATGGGCCGTCGAAACGCGAATTTACTATTAAGAATGTAAATACATATGTGAACGGCCTCGGCGGTAAGGATTATCCCGAATGATTCACATTCAGGATGAGTGTGCGCGCCGGCGACGGTCGAATGTCCGTTCGCCGAATTACGCCCGTGCGCATCGTAATAGACCTTAAAAAAAAAAATCGCTGTTATTCTTATTATTACAATGCGAGTGCGGACTTTTGAGCGCGTCCGCGTTTAGTCGCGGCCAACTAGGAAGCTATAAAAAAAAAAAATATTCGAAATTAATTATCGTTGATATTGTAATGCGCCGAGACGTGATCGGGTTACGTTTTGCCGTCGAGGGAGGCCGAAAGTCGAACGACCGTACCGGTCGCGGTACGCGTACCGGGCGCACGACTAAAATACGATATTATAATATTGTTGTATGGACAAACGTTGATGTTTTAACGGATTAGTACGGATTAATCGGAAATTATCGCAACAGCCGTCGAGAAACTCGCACGGAATATTCGTTTATCACCCCGTCACCGCGGCGCGATAAATTATTATTCTTGTTATGATTGCGATTGCCCATGCGAAAACTGATTGCGCGCGGACAAGGTGAACGCGCGATTATTAATACTCAAGATGACGCGCGTGCGTTCGTACATTAGAACGGAGACGGCGAATTCGCGTTCGGTTTTGAGACTGTATTGGGGGTGGAGGGGGGGGGGTGTGCTCGGCGCCCCCGAAATAACCCGATCAGCTTTTTCACAATGTACAGTAATAATATCGGCCATCGGTCAATTTGCCGCCTGTAAGCAGAAGGAAATTCGCCGCCCTTTCATCGTCATCGTACAGTTTTCTTCTCTTTTTTTTTTTTTTTTTGTTTTTTTTTCCGAATCAAAAATAGCATTAACAAATATGTCGTTAAATGAATCGCTATTAACTATTTAAGTGGCCACGGATAAAACATGTTATTTCAGTATTGTTGCCTCTAGACGGCCAATGTGTACACACAAAGAAATGTGTACAGCTGTTTTTAAAATTTTCGAAAAAGTCGACAAAACCATCGTCATATATAAGATATCGGAAAAAAAAAAACGTTCCGAGACTAACTGCAATTTGTCGTCTCGAAATTTCGAGCGAGATACGCGCGTGTGAAATATCGCAAAAGGCTTATGTATCTCGATAAAAAAAAAAAATTAAAATGTCGGAAAAAAATCGACATTACAAACGTTACAGATAATGTTTGAAAATCGGCCGATTCGCTCTAATTTAAAAAAAAAAAAAAAAAAAATATGAACTAAAAACGCAAAATCGGTTAAACAATTTCGCTATGTAGCGTACGTTTGTCAGACTCGACTCCCATAATACAGAGGGTCCCGAGGCGTGATCCTCCGTGTTTCTATCGACAAATTAATATTTTTTTTTTTTTAGAGAGTGTTCTCGAATCACATACGGATCGGCGGTAAACGCTGCGGGGGTCAATCCCTCCCTGCGAAATTTTTTCCGCGTTCGTCCCCGATACGAGTGTATAAGACCCCGGCCCGGATCGCGCACTCGGATAAAAGAAAATCGAAAAAAAAAAAGCGAGTTAGAGTCGAAGGAAATTTATAGAGGAATTCAGTGAAAAAATCGCGATTTTAAAACTTTCATAATTACGGCCGTCGAAAATACGTGTAATATGCAGAAATCCAAAGCTGCAAACTCGACAACGCGTTTCAAAATGAGTATTTCGAAAACGAAATATATTGAAACAAAATGTGTTATCTTTAGTTTGTCTTTTTTTTTTTTTTTAGTCGATATACGTTCGTAGTGCGTACGGATTCGCAGAGGACGACGACGACGGCGGCGGCGGCGGCGGTTACCGAAGACGACCGAACTATATGAAATATTATTGTAAAATTATGTCAACCCTCGCGAAAATTTCCGACTGTCCCGCGACTGTCCAGCACATTCCTACAATGTAAATAAATATAAATTGCTGCGAATGTCTATAAAAATTATCACTCTGCGCGGCGATCCTTGACCCGATTTTCAGCGTAATATCTCGTTCGATTCATTTGTTATTTTTTCGAGATAAATATGAGTTATTATGTTATTTAACAAAAAAAAAAAAAAAATAATAACTTGTTACAATTTTAACACGAGCCGTAAGTGCCTGTGCATAGATTAAACCACCGAAAGATATCGCGAACCGACCACTGGAAAACGGTGTCGGGACAGAGTAATGACGGTAATGCGTGACAAAATTACAATAAGCCGCGAAGCAAGAAGCACTTGACCGAGTGCCTACGACGATTGGGTTATTGTTTTGTACGGTAGGCCTTAAGTATATTGTATTCGATTTTGTTTTGTTTTTTTTTTTTTCGCTCTTTCGACGCATCCGAGATTACGATTGTTTTCCACGAGTTTCCAACGCCTATATCACACGCGTCGTAGCGTGTCACCACACGCGTATTATCCGAGCATTTTTATACCGACGATATTGCATAGGTATTAATATTATTGACTCGAAATGAACGAGACAGTGGGCGCCCGCCGTCTCCGCTCAAACTCCCCTCCCTCCCGCCACATACGGATTCACGCGTACTCACGACCGCCACAAGAGCGTGTTTTTTTAATACGTTTGAAATCCTAACAGTTTTCAAACGCTTATCGTCTTCCGTCGCCCATCACCGAGAAATGTCGGCCAAATTTAGACCCTGGCGCAATCGACGACGCCGCCGGCACGATGCAGCGCCTGTAAAAAGGCGAACGCGATTTTCGCGGTAAAGAAAAAAAAAACCGTTTAATATCACAATCGAGAGAAAAAAAACGATCGTTTGTCCTGAGCTCGGGTTACCATTTCCCCTCCGTCGCCACCCCCCCTCCCCGTATATACGGAAAATTCTTACTTGACAGAGTCGCGAGCATTTTTGTTTTTTTTTGTTTTTTCTTTAAACTCGCGACCGTCCGGGCGAAGACACCGTAGTTTTCCGTCCGCAGGAACGGCAGGGCAACGGTGTTTGCAGATTTCGAAAAAACTATACGGCGAAAATGCTATCGCGGAAAACACCGTATTATTAATCACTACATTTAAAACGTAATTAATGGTTTTTAACGCGCGCCCACACACACACACACACACGCGATTTTCGGACGGCGGGTGCACCGCGGGAACACTATTTCAGTGGCGGGCGGTCACTAGAAATGCACTACACGCCGCGCGTATCGGGTGTCGACGCGGTCTAGAGGGCTACGGTGGTGCGGCAAGACAGACCGGCCGAACTCGCGGGGAACGCGTGCGCATAATACACACACACACACACACACACACATACACGCACGGTTTCCCCAGCCCCCCGCGCTAAGGACTTATAGTGCTCCCGGCCTCCCCCGGGTAAGCCACCGATCGTCTCACCCCGTTATTGTCATCGCCCTCACCGCCACCGCGCCGCTATCCCGGCCCGTGCGGCCCACGCGTTGTTCCCGTCGGCTTCCCTCGCACGCACACGCTGCAGTTTACCCGGACCGGTCGGCCGCCCCGCCCGTAATATAATCTCCGCGAATTCTAGTGCTTCGCCTCATCGCGACTTTTCGCAGTTCGACTTTGCGGTGGTTCGCATACGACGCCCGGCAGCGGTACACTGTCGGTTTTAGCTGTGCACTTTGTAGCCCGCAATCCCTCCCCCCTCCTCCCAGAGATATAAAAGCGGCACGGGTCTCGATGTCGCATAGGGCTCGTAGCTATTTAGTAAGTCGTCCGGACGACCGAGAAATATGTCTCGGGGGGCTCCCTTAACAGGCGCCTGCCGACGAGGCGGTCGGATCAAAGGTCCCGCGGGCCCCGGAGAACTCGGGGAGAAAAACGGGATCCTTTTCGTGTAAACGCGTGAACGACGAAATGTTTTTAACGAATTATACACGATGACGACTTACTTCCGTATTTACAAACACGGGATGTCCCGATACGTTTTCTATTGGTATTATAATATTATAACGACTTCGATTTCTCTATAATTAGAAAACCTTAGCGGTTTTATTGCTACACGAGAAAATATAATTTAATGATAAGGAGAAACGCAGAAGTATTTGCGCGCATTTTTTTTTTTCTTTTTTTTATCGAATGTCTGAAAAATTGACAAATCGGCAACAACTTTGAGTGACATTCCTCGTAAAATTATATCATTGCGTGTGACCCTTTTTTTTTCATTTTCCAAGGTTTTATGTTTCTAATTTGTTTTTCCAACAATATCTATTTATCGCAGCACACAACGATAAAATACAAATATTCGATAGAAACTTAATAGAGATGTGAAATTTCCAACAAAACTACATTACGGATCGGGTGCACTGTGACAACGTACAACAAAGTGAGCGCGATAAAGTACACAGATACGGTCACACGTTTGAACAAGACTGGTCATAGTTATTTCTTATCGTAATTAATTTGTTTTTGCTGTAGGTATCTATAAATATTTCTGTATAAATGTCTCGACGATGATAAATCGCGACGAAATAAGACTTTTTTTTTTACGGTGGAAAAATATCCGTTGTTTAAAGAAAAATTATCCCAATAAAATAAAAACGCAAACATTTATCGACGAAATAACAAATAATATGTATATTGTGCACATAAATATTTGTTTTTGTTCGACACCGATAAAATATTTGAATTTTCTGTCTTGAGTCAATTGTTTTTACCTCTATGATATCGATAAAATATAATGATATAGATACTAACAATTATTATAGATATTTAGAAAAAAATAAAAATAATCAAGTTCAAGTTATATTATTTTAACCTACTACGGTTTTAAATGGCCGCCAGAAAACGTTTACGTATGTAGCGGGGGAAATTATTACTATCTTACTTCGTTAAAATGAAAATAATCGACGTTGTTTTTGAAAGTTCGAGGACGAGGACGAATTCCCCGAACATTGTGAATTGTACAGGCCGAAGCTCGAAAGAACAAGGAAAATAAATACGACAGCGGTCAGTTATGCTAAACCATAAGATAAAATTAAAAAAAAATTGAATATAGAGTAGCGGTAGTTCTCGTTCGCCAGTCGCGTAACGCAGTCGATCTAAAGGAGAATTTGTTTGACGGTTGGAGCAAGAGCCGGGTAAGACGAACACTGGCATTGATTGGAGAAAGTTATGTAGCTGGGGAAACGATAGCGTATGCAATGAACTCGAATAAAAACATAATTGAACAGCAGCTTGTCAACGGTCTGACACGGGGAGAAAATCTAGGGTTTGTTGAACAGAAGTGAAGTTACGTGGAGGGCTGCAGTAGACTTTAAGCGTACAAGCGGCAAATCTCAAAAATTTGCGCGGAATTTCGTCAATAGTTTTCGATTCATCGGTGTAGTAGATTGGATTACAGATGATCGAGCCGTATTCGAGGAACGGCGACGGTCGGACTAAAAAGGGCAAAAAAGAGTTTTCAGAGGGGAATTGGATTCGATTTCGGAGCCGTTCCCAGAATTTTAATTTCAATATGGATATTATTATTTCCCTACCGTCACTCTGCACAATAATATTGTTACACGGCGGTCGATCGAACGAAATATAATCGGAGAAAATGACAAACAGATCCGATTCCGATATAATTCTACAATTATTAGGTTTGCGTGCGCGCGCGTATGGGAGAAAACGAAAAACGATAATACGATTATTATGACGCACGACATTTCGGCGAGTGCGTATTGTCATTGAAGAAGCACCATAACATATTATGTAGCTACGAGTACCTAATAATAATTCAATGTAAACGGGCCGAGGCCGAGACAGGCTGTATTATGGAAATATGGGCAAAATAATAATGTGATGAGATTTACGTGTGCGACACGTTTTTTTACAGAATGTTTTTCGAATAGCATGTATTGTTCTCGGTGTTGTGTTCGAAAAATTGTTGTTTTTCCCTAAACGTTCCACATGCTACATAGGCGAAGTGAATTGCGCAACGTACCCGTACGTATGTACGATAAATATTGTTCAAGTCGAAAACAAATCGCGGAATACCTTTCGTGGTAGCGCCGCACACACACACACACACAAAGACGCGATTAAATTGTAAAATAATTTTTTTTAGATAATAAAACAGATAGTCAAAAACTTAATTTTAATCGTTGACCGTGCGCCGATGGCGGCGGACCGTATTCGATACGACTGAGCCGCAAATGCGGCGCGTACGCAATACTACGTACCGATGTAAACGTTTGATTGCCTATGTCAAAATTGAAACGGCGCAATAAAAGTACAGTGTCAAAAAACAATAAAACCGCACAAGAAACTTTATTTTGATTACTATTATTATTATTATTATTTTTTTAAAAAACAAAAACGACGTGAAAATTTAAAAACGGAATCACCGGCCACCAATATGATTTACACGGAAAAAATTAAAAAAACAAAAATAATTGTTTTACCGTCGTGGATTATTAAAAAAAAAAAGTAATTACGGCATATTGCGGTAATTTATTATAAAACGAAAAAATAAAAATAATTACATACGCCAGTCGCATTATGGAAATGACCGTATATGCGATATTATTATAATAATGTGTATCCGAATTTTACGGCGACAATGACATTTAGTGGAAAAAAAAACAAAACAGTAAATAAATATTCATAAATCTAATTGTTAATATATTATGGGTGCCTACGCAACAATAATTATACGAATTATAAAAAACGGTTTTAAGATCAAGAACACTGTTCTGCAGTAGTAACGACGCCTAATACCGCGAGAAAGTGATGTTAATTCACTGACAACGTACCTATGTACATAACTACACCGCCAACCAATAATTATAATATCGCATAAGGTAACTTCCTTACATTCACCCGCGATGACGTCTTATCGTGATATTAATAATGATTTCTTAAAATGTTAAAAAGAGAAAATTCGATCGAGTAAACAAGTAATATGGGGCAATAATAATGATAATTGACGTTGTCCCGCAGATAATCTAAGTGTAAAATTATGTAATTTAAAAAACAAATTAACATAATTATATCTACGTATTATTAATTTACTATTTAAATTGTTAACCTATGTATCGTTAATACCGAATGAAAACGTACTTCGCGTTGTTTCTTGAATCGACCGATATGATATTATAATATTATGTACATTATTACATCACGACCTGGGATAATATTTCGAACCGCGTTATATTATATGTAATAATTAAAGTGCGGATTTAAGTGTATACTTAAAATCTCCGAAAAAGCGAATAATAAAGGTGTTTCAAAGTCCCCGCTTTAACGGTTCTAACCCTGTTAAATACAATCTTCTTACACTGACAAATGATTAACATAAAGTATTTTTTTATAACACGTAAAAATATATTTGAAGACAATTACTGTGTACTAATCGTTCTTTTAGCGTTAAAAAAAAATTATTTTTAATAAGTTTAAAACAATAGACGAGAAACCTTTTAAACCCCTCTGTCTTCATTGCTCTTTTGAATATTTTTTAAGTGACTTTTTTTAGAGCTTTTACGACATTTTTAAATGCAGTTTTGTGAATTTTAAGTACATAATATAAATCCGTTTCCTAATTATAATATTGAATAGTAAACGTATACACGAATGTCTATACGCAATCAAATGCCTAATTTGAGAATTTTTATCAATATTGCACATATTACCGTATTATTCGAAACGATTTTACACGGTACGACGATGATAAGGCTTAATTTCTAATTTGCATGTACTTACTTATGCGAATATTACGAAAAAAACACGATTTATATGCCTCCATTTTATAATAAAATATAATGCAGTAATTTCATTAGTCGACACGTTTTACGAAAAAAAACCACCTACGAATTTCCAAACAGAATCTATGCAAGTGTAGAAAAACACACAATTTACCACCACTCAACTGAGTACCTACATGGTATAATGGCTGCAGGTATAAGATATATGAAAGAATTTAGAATGTTAAATTAATATTTTTAGATACACGACATGCGAAAAAAAACACAATTTTAAATATAAATCGACTTCTCGTCGTTCTGTATGATATTCTCGGGAACAACAAAATATTTCCCGAATGGTGTCGTTATCGGATTTTTTTACATTTTTTTTTTTTCTTTAATCAGACAAAGCGCAGGCGCTTTTTTTTTAATGCTGTTTCGGTAGTTGTTTACGGTCAAAAGTATATAAGTATGCAAATGTATAAACGTATACGTATGTCCGTTTCAAATCTAAAATAATAATAATAATAAGTCAGGTACCGACAAACGTGACATAATTAGGCGTGCTGTAAACGGTATAATAAATACGATAACGTTGGTATTGATAACACACACATACAAATGATAACAAATCCCCGCGGATCGTCTTAACATTATTATTATAATATGTTAAATTATATTGTATTTAGTTGTTTGTGCAACAATATTTTAGTCAGAGTTGTTTAATAAACATTAATTACAAAAAAAAAAAAAGAAAAATAATAATAATAATAAAATACAAACTCGAAAATGTCAAATGCGCACAACAAATCGCTCGAAAATAACCGGAATGTTTTTAAAGTGAAACCGCGGAAGGTTATACGAGGAACACAAGTACTCTGTAAAAATGTCGGGTCAGTACGATTTTTACCCGAATAGCAACAAAAAACGAACAAAGGAAAAAATCATGGAACCGTTATCGCGGTAAATTATTCGACTTTTCCCAATAACTATCGTGAAAACTGTAATGAAAAATAAAAACGAATAATTTTCCCAATACACCGAATAGATCGAATTTCAGAAAAGACGCTACACGCTTGAAAATCGGAGTTACGTTGTAAACGAAAATGGAAATTGTTTTTATTGAAAATCGACAAAAATATTATGTATCAAGACGAAACTGTAAAAAGTGTAATTGTGTAATTGTGTAATAATATTTTCATCCGAAAATACAATCGGCGTATTTAAAATTTTTAATAACAATAATTGACCGTACGGTCGAGAGCGTATATTATACCGCATACGTGTATACGTATATAATTTTATTCAATTAATATAATTAATATAATAACGTCGACGTTCAATTTACGTTAATTTAATTACGTTTCATTGGTTTGAGATTAATTCAGAACGTTAACGTTTCGTATTGGCGCCGACGCGCGTTTTTCATTTGTATAAAAAATTCGCATCGTGAAAAAAAAATTAATAATAAAACTGTAACAGTGCGGTCGAAAATCGATTGTACGAACGGACAACGGGTAACGGAACGCAAAACCCGCCGTAGGACTTTGAAAATCGCATTTAATTCTGTACGTCCGGCTAGGTGATGCGCGCGCTTGTTTCGCTTTTTCGTGATATTCGCGGTTTTGTTTCTGTATTCGCCGGGTAGCCGCAATGTGTCGCAACAGTTTTACCGCGATGTGTAAAATATTTCATCGAGTACATTGTTGCGTTACGCAACTGCATGAAAATTTGCATCGGTATAAATAAATTAAGAAATACTTTTTAAGCATTATCATTATCTACTCGTGTATTGAATATCACGATAATGAGACAAAAAAAAAATAAAAAATATATCTATATATACTATTTAAACGCACCTGTCTATAATTTACATTCGCTGTGTAATTAATATCAACGCGGATTATTATTGTACCTGTACTATGGAAATCCGAAATGAAAAAAAAAATCGCTGTTTAGGAAGGAAAAAATGTAAAATCATTTCGTAACAGTTAAACCGTCGTACGTAGTACATATATTGTTGGCCGGTGTTGTTTTTGAAAAAACTGCGTCGAAAATCGAAATTCAAATCGGTTTTCAATTAAAACATTGTTGTGTTACCGTTTTTTTTTTTTTTTTTTTTTTTATCGCAAACGGGAGAAAACAAATCAATAACTCTATCAATTGTTTTCCCGTTGGCATTTTTTCGTTTTGTTTTTATTTTTTAAATTGTTGTATTTATTCGGGTGTCGCATTTGTTTTTCGTTTTGTAACGACAATACGCGGTCGGAAACACAACAGTTCCGTCATTACAAGTACGAACAAATAATAATGTTTTTGCAAAATATTAAAAATTATCATCTTCTGCGCATATGCAGTATATTTTTAGTGTGTAACAGACAAATTAGTATAGATAATATCGTTATTGTTATTATTTTTTTAAACATATTTATTTCGGTGAATTGAAAAAATAAATAGGAAAAACAGTATTATTTATTTTTTTATTTTTTTTTTCGTAACATACCTACCAGCTACGGGTCAATTGCAAGATCAAGGTTCTCGCACGACCAAATAGTAGTGTGTCATTAATTCACTCGCGCAGAGGGTATTGGTATTTCTCGGACCAATTGATAATAATATTTTGCCCGGCTCGACCTTTGGCATACACACACGGACTTTTTTTTTTAAACATATTTATTTCGGTGAATTGAAAAAATAAATAGGAAAAACAGTATTATTTATTTTTTTATTTTTTTTTTTTTTTTAATATACCGCGCGGTGTGCGTGCACGGTTTTTTGTTCGTTTGTATTTCGCCAGTGTGCGCGCGTTTTTTTCGCTTCTTGTCGCGCCGCCGTTACACAGAAAACCGCCGGGGAGTCCATTAACATAATACAGTCTCGGGTTTTGCATTTTCGCGTCACGTACCACCCCTGCGACCTTGCGGCCGCCCGCGCAAATTTATACGTTCCCGCGCGGTACGAGACCGCACAACATTACATTACCACTTGCACGCGTAATTTTTCCCGATAATTCCGATTTATACGGCCGATTAATGTCCACGGTCTGCGGCGCGTACCGAGGTCGCCGACGATCCTTCCGTCGCGAACAATTGTATCGTTTTAATATGCGGCGCGACACCGCGTCGTCGCCGCCGCCGCCGCACACGGACGGCACGAGTGGCAATCGCGACACGCGCCTGGCGTATAGGCAAACAAACGGCCGTCCGCGCGCGTTCCGGTTGCGTTCGCCGACGCCTCGCGGAAATTATGTTTTTGAAAAATCGAAACTGACCGACGCGCCCGTTACCGGGTCCACACAGTTGGACGTCATTTGTTATCCGAATATCGAAAACAAAAAAGGCCGTCCGTCGATTCTCATCGCCGACCGTTCTAATCGAAAACGAAATTATTATTCTACCTTTTTTTTTTTTTTCCTCTACAGCGCAGATACGTTTACAGATATCATATCTTTAAGAACGAATTCGATAAGTATACAATAATTACTACGCAACCGGACGCGGAAATCACACGGACACGCCGAATATCGTTGAAAAATTTAATATTTATCGACCCGGGCAGATACCGCGTATTGTGTTGATATTACAATCGGATAAAATACATTCGGAATTTTCAGCGCGCGGCAGAGTAAACTTGTAATATACGTGCGAATAGTATGCGCAGACAATATTATGTAGAAGAAAAACTCCGAATTCAGTCGAACGCCGCGATTCGAAAACCTACCGTCTTTAACGAAACAAACTACATCGTCGTGTTATCGTGACATAGAATATGCTATTCGTCGTTGCGAATGCGTTTGGATTGCGATTTCTACTATAATAACAGTAATAATTATGATATACACCTTTAGACGTTCGCGATTCGAGATTTAATTGGTTAGATAAACGTTATAGTGTGCGATATTCAACGGTTTGCCTAGGTTTTAACGCGCATTATTGTTACTAAAAAAAAAAAAAAAAAATTAGTATAAATAAATAAATAGAAGTATGAAATGTATGAAAAAAAAAAAAAAAAAATTATAGTTAATCGTAAATTTAAAAGGTTTTTTTTTTTTTTTTTTTTTTTGTTTCGCGTGGACGTCTCACGCGCTAACAAAACGCGCGCGATTCTAAAAAAAAAAAAAAAAATTGTTCGCGTTTTAACGAAATAATCGTCCATTCGATTCGATTTTTCGTCGTCGTCGTCGTCGTTGTTGTTGTTGTTGTTGTTGTTGTTGTTGTTTTTAGCGCACCCACGAAAAAATGTCTTTTGGAATGTCTCCGGTTACAATGAACATTGTTTGTAACGCGTTGAAACACACATGCGGCACGCACGTACACGACGGAAAACAAAAAAAAAACCGAACATGATACCCATTGCGCCCGGCTATTGTCTGCTGCGGGAATCGCGGTACACGCGACGATACTATTGTGGTTGTTCACCTATTGATTGTTAATAAACTCGGCGGCGGCGGAGAAACACGAAACCCGGTTCGCAAGAAAAAACTCCAGCCCGACCAAATACCGCCTGCGCGCGGTACGCCGCGCGGCCGTAATATCGCGCGGACGTCATACACGGCGCGGTCGCCCGTACACGTCCGTATACCGTGCATACACGGAAATATTGTATACACGCGGAAACGTTGTACACGTATGCCATGCGGGAAGGGCAGTTTCGGATTGTAGGCGCGGGTCGGCGGCGGTAGTGGGCGGCGGACGCCGTTCCTCAAAGTCGGACGCGCGTCCGGGACCGACGGGACGCGGCGGTTCGACGGCGACGGACAAAACCGGACGAACCGCACGACGAACGGGGCTCTATCGGATTTTGCCCGGTGAAAACCGCCGCCGCCGCGGGGCCCCCGGAGCCGCCGACGGTCCCGGAGGACATCGGCGGTCCGGGCGTCCGCGGCGAACGACGCGGGGCGGTCCGACCGCACGCATCTCCGTCGGACGCCGTCAGCGACCGTCGGCCGCGACGCGACGGGGCCGCGGTATCCCTTCGAGGCACCGACATCTATTTTCAGTGCCGAACACTAGAATAACCGCGCCGCGACCTCGGGACCACGTCCGTGAACGTGATGAGCAACTTGTAAACGAACCATGACCAGTATGTGCGCGCGTACACGCATTTACGCGTATAATATAGGCATGTGTGCGCGCGGATAGTAATTATCGTACACTGTGCACTGCAGCGTACGCGCGATGTAGGACTCGTGAATTGCGCAAATAACCTCCTTGCACACGGTCCGTACAATTTTTTATACTTTTTTTTTTTTTTTTTTATTCGTTTTTTCTTCTTCAGCCATACCTATTATTATTATTATTATTTTTGTTTTACCTGTTCCCAATTGGCTTTCGTCTCTTCGTCCTCGTCGTCGTCGTTAAACTCGTAATCGCCGTACATCGAGGGCCAGGCCCTCAGCGACATGGTTCTGTTGAATTGCTGGGCCATGGTTTTATTTTTAATACACTATGTAAATACGACCGGAACGCAGGTGGTATGATACGCGCCTAATAAACACCACCACCGCCGATCACGATTGACGGCCAGTACCTATTATGGCCCGCCTATGTGATGGACGTGTGTGTATTATAGTGAAATAAATACACCGCGCGAGTACGTCTGATGCTTCCGACTAAATATTGCAGCGTAAATAATTTCCTCGGAAAGCCATCGTAACATCGATTATACATCAAATTCGAATTAATTGATAGACGAAACGAGGTCGTTCCTTATACCGTATAATATACGATACACAGACGCTATTATACACACAAATGCGCGCGATTTTATTTGGGTCAGAGCGAATGAACAGAACAAAAAAAAAAAAAATAATACACAAATTACAGAAGAAATATGTTGCAGAAAAAAAAAAAACAAAATCCGGAGAGTGATGAAAATATAACGGGAAATACATCGAATCTTGCAGAATATCGACAAATGTTTTTCGTTTGTTTTTGTGCGGTACCAATCGGTTTTCAATATAATATTATAATAAATTTACCACAGGCGGTGTTTCGGCGATGCGGTTTTCGGCAAACGGTTTATCGCATTGTTTACTACTCGGTTACAATATCGCCGTTTATTTTTTTTCAACCCCATACCGTATACCGTTTACCGGAGACTGTAAACGCAGTTTTGAATTGTTTGCCGGTTCTGCGGTTACCTGTTTGCCGAAAAGCGCATTCGGTTAGACGTCAAACAATAACCGCGGCCGTAAAACAATATCGCCAAAACACGCCCCCAACTTAAAACGAAAATCCTCCCGAAATATACATCCTGAAAGTATAATGCACGACGATCGTTACCTGCGGAACGTATGTGTTCTGCGGCGTCCGGATTTTGGTGGTGTTTTTGATGGGAACGACGTCGTCGTCGTCGTCGTCGTCGTCGTCGTCCTCGTCGTCGCTGCTCAGCCGTTTCGGCGACGATTGCGCCACGACGATGGCCTGTTTTTTCTTAAGTATGTGGTCAATGAAATTCGGCACGTTCGGTGTGGCGAGCAAAAGGTTTTTCTCCTTTTGACTGTGGATCATCGATCCGATGTGCCGGCCGGTGGTGTACCCGTTGCCCGAGCACGCCGTCTGCTGGTTGCCCTGCCTGAGGAACGCGTATTTCTTCTTCTTGATTTTGGCCGCGTGGCTGTGTATGAGGGCCGCGGTCGAGCCCACCGTCGTGTCCACCGAGGCGTTCGACGACATGGTGGACGCGAACACGGACTGCTCGGGCCTGGGCCTGTGGTGCACGCTGTGGATACGGGCGCCTTCACCGTACAGTTCGGCCACTTGGTCGTCGGTGATGGGCATGTCCTGCAACAACGAACGCGGCCATTATAATAATATCGTTTTTAGTGTAATTACTGTCGTTGTCGGTGTCGTTGTTGTCGTTGTGCAAGAACTAGCGTGTTATTATGTTAAATATTAGGCAAAAAAAAAAAATAATCGACAAAAAAAAAAAATTCAAGTCATGAACAACCGTGTCGGGTTCTGTGCGCGCGCGTGTTTGTGTATGTGCGTATGCGTGCATGTGTGTATGTGTGTGGAAGCTGCTGACAAAAATACACTGTCTGTAAATTAGACGTGTTTATCAGCCCAAGTACCGTGTGCCGCAACACACACACACACAAGCGCATTATAACAATATAACGTTTCGCACTCGTTTTTTTTTGCGATACCGTCTAACGATAAACCCGCACAAGTCTATTGTGGAACAATACGAAAAATATAATATCATTCCGGCGGCGTGCGAATATTATTATTATAGGCGCCTGTATTATTATATTGTTGTCATTAATGGAGTTTCTTCTGGACTTTGGTGATTTTTATCAGCGTCGCCGGTGTAGAGGGAGAATGTCAACGCGCGCGCGACTCCTTGGAATGTTTCCCCCCCCCCGATTTAACGCCCAGTAGGAATGATAATAATGGCGAGACCGCAGTCGGGCTGACTCGGAAAATTTTAATAATAATAATAACACAATCGGTTATACCTATATTCTGTTTTATTGTTAATTAATGGTCAGAATTAAAGATTTCTATTTTTTTTTTTTTTTTTTATTTTTTTCTGTCCGTCATAGTCAAAAATACACTTAATTGTTTTGCAATACGGTCCGTACTAGAATACAAATTATTCACAGACAACAGTAAAATATTATAATAAAAACCAATATAACTGTTTATTAATTTAATTACAATAAATATACTTTACGAACGACAGGCAATGTTTGCGATTACAAGTTGAATTTGGAGTGTACGCATGCGTATAATTGATTGTAAGTCGTAGCGGTCTAATAATTAATGTTGGCATTGACGACGTTCGATATCGGAACAATTATTCCTTACCACTCGTTTACTTATTCGGTACGTTAGCGTACGTACCGAATACGGGTGAAAACATTAAACAAGCGGTGTCCGGACGATTAAATGATTACATGGGTTATTTCAGCGGTGTCGTTCGGAGGTGGACGGGACGCGGTATATTTGCTAATAACTGGGCACGACGGCGGACCTATCTATCCTGATATCTTATCAGTGTCCGTACTATAATCACGAAAGGATTTCACATGACGCGGCGAGTTGTGGACCCCGGCAAGGTAATACCTGGCGTGTTAAGGGCAGGCCTCAACTCGCCGTGTCGTTTCGTCTCGCGCGTTTTGAACGCGAGACGTTCCGTTTTGATTGCGCGAAATAATTTGTACCGGTCGTTCTACCAACTGCCAACTGCCAACATTTCGCTATTAATTTACCGTTCACCAAAAATGCGCGGTGATTATTATCGCGCGGTTTTCTTAAGATAAAATATCATTGTTGTATTATATTGTTTATGAATTTACGGTATTTATTATTATTTTTGCCATCGATATTTCACCGTCTCTACACTTTCTTCCGGGGGTTTTTTTTTTATCATTCGAATTATTTTCTGTCAAAAAAGGCGATGTCATTAACGTTTTTCAAGTGCGAGCGTCAGGTTATCTCAAACCAGAATGTACCTACGAATCGCAGATCACGACTATCACGACCGGATGTATGATCAGACTGCAGATATAAGACAACCGTCTCTAGAAATTTTCCCTATATTTTTCGCTCGTTTTATAACATCATTTTAAAATCGGGTAAGTTTACAATAATTATTGCACTCGATAAAAATGTAAGGTGAGCGGTGTAGTGAGCGGTTTCTTTTGTATATATACTATATAGTTACTTGGGCCCGTGACCTGTTTGCTAAACTAAAATGAAACGAAAACGCGAAAAACTAAAATGTCGCCACTAGATTATTTCAGGTTCTTTTCGACACTGACAAATCTTATGAAAAATAAAAATACAATTATTTATTAGTATTGTACTAATCATTATTCAACGAAAATTGTATTATATTATTGGCATATGATCTGTTCCTAATTCGAAATTATTTTTTAATATCGATTGGATTATATAAATAGTTCATTAAAAAAAATGTACAATTCAAATGGATATACCAATACTCTTAAAGTTTTTATTTTTCTCCCGTGCAAAATTTAAAATCAAAATAACGGACTTGTTTAGTATGTCTGATGCGATAATGAGATACGATTTCTTAAAATAACATAAATTACCGTTTTTCGCGGATTTCGTTTTTTAGAAAAACATCACGAAATCGTAGAGAATAAGACACGGTATTCATTTGCAGTATGTGTCGGAAAACGTAAAAGTTTGCATAAATTATTGTTTTCTTGAGTTTGAATGTAGCGAGCAATATTAATATTGGTTTTATTATGATGCGAGTTTGTTATTTTTGGTATCTGTGAGCAACTTTTCCACCAGAAATCTTCTCGAATCAAGAAATAACGAGACAATTTTAACGCTATATTATGGATTTAGTTGGTGCGTATGAAAGTCGTTTTTTTTACTTGATAGTTTTCTCAATAATAGGTGTTAGCGAACACGGACAATTTTATGACATAAACTGATTCACCATTTTTCACGATTGCCATGATTTTTTTTTTCATTGTAATTCGGTTAAAAGTTATCATAAAATGAAATGTTCAAAGAATATTAGGCTTTTCTCGAGCATGATTAAATTTTCAAAACTTGTTGGCGATTTTATACTTTTTATATAGTAATTTAACATTTTTAGGTTTTATGATGGTAAAATTGCTTGGCTGAAAAATTCTTGTAATTTTAACACGAAGATCATTTTAAGTTCTACTTTGTGGTAAAAAAAAAACATTGAGCGAAATGTCTTTTTTTATTCACGTTTTAAAATCAAATTTTGACGAAAATTATGCAAATTATGGCATTTCAAAATATATATATTTAAACTTCGTTCAGAATCGTTTTTCGTTAGAAAAAGTTTATCGTTCTATATAGTTTAAAATTAATAACTTCATGTAGGTATCCTATCTTTAAAACTCCCCGCCTATATCAGAGACACATCCATTTCTCAGTATTAACTCTTATTTTTAGTAAAATGTTTACATTCACTACGTATATACCTACTTAATGTATGCCTAGACCAAATGCAAATAATTTACACGAGCACATTATATCAGTCAATATTGCGTATATGAATAAATGATAAGATTACAAAAAAAAATAATACATTTCCGTCATATTTGTATAGATACTAGAAGAACAATTTGCTTGAACAATATGACATTAGGAACTCACAAAAAAATGTGAAAATATAATGACTGTATATATCTGCTGGGGTGATGGCACTGCATATTATGAATCATATGATATTTTCGAATATTTACTCAATGTAAACGGAACTTACAACGATAATGAACTGATGGATCGAGTACGAAAAAAAAAAATAACGAAGTAAAAATCGCTAAAATGACTTTCTTGCGATTTGTATGTAAAATATATTTTTTAAACGATACGATGGCTTGTAAATAATTACCCAAGGCTAAATTTTTAGCCAGGGAACAGTTGATGGAAATTCTGCAGTGCTGTTAGATGTAATATTTAAGTGCTCAACGCAATATTATATAATAGTTAAAGTCTATATTTGATATTCATAAAGTTTTATGAGTTTATACACATTATGTGCGAATTTACTTTGATGAGTCAAAATACACAATTCGAAAGGAAATTCGAGAGGCCAGCCAATCCACTAATTTTTTCATATGATTTAACGATATAACCCCTATTAAAACATAATATCGTTGAAAAGCCCTAGTAGCAGCTAATAATACAACATGTGCATTTTTGTGTTATTAACACCGTACGGTCTTACATAAAAAAAAAAGCACACCCACGAGCGGCAAAACTCCAACACTATAGTAGAATTCCCCTTCCCACGTATTTCGTATTATGGAAATATTCTTTGCAAAACAACAAAATAACTGAATACTTTACATTATTTGGTTATATAATAATACAATATGATATAGTATATAAGTACTACTTTCGAAAAAGAAAAAGGTGAAATTTGAGTGCAAAAATTTTAGGGGCGGAGTTTGAACGTGAAAACCTCCAAAAGACACGTTCTCGATACGTCAGTAATTTTGTATACACAGGGCTGACGCCTTGTGTATACAAAATTTTACTTCCTGGCTTCATTTGGGGTGTCTGCAGAGATGTTCGACGCTAAAATACACACTTCTTCCGCAATAACACGGTGAAATTTATACTGAAATTCAACACAATTTTTATCACTTCGATTCGCCTATAAAACAACTCTAATTCCTGAGTTTGAGCTCATTTGGTCCATAGAAAGGCATTAAAAGTGTACAAAAGTAGAGGAGAAAAGGCATTTTAGCAGTCTCTATATTTTCGGAGGAAATTGTACTGAAAAACAAAAAAAGAAAATGCGTATTTACCATGTAGTCATTTCAACAAATCTATATGAATCGGATTCATTTTTTAATGTCGACAGCATCCCGAATATAGATTGAAAAAACTTACTGCTTACAAAAAAAATGTTTATCTGCAGTGAACGGATAACGTGAATATTATTATTACGCTGTTAAAATGTACAAAAATCTGCTGCAAAACGTACGATGATGAAAATAACAAGGACGACACTGTAATAATACTAGGTGTACAAAAATTAAAGTACCAAAAATAAAAAAAAAAAAATAAACCGAAAGATAATATTGATGAAATCAGATCGTTTACAGGTGCACACCGCGTATATATAGGTACTGAAATCGGGAGTTTTTGGCACGCCAAGTTTTGCGGGGAAACAAAAATTACTCCGACAACTCGCAAGTATGTATGTGGGACGACATTCTGAGGGAAAAAATGTCTCGGTCTTCTTTGTCGGACACGTGGACTTGAAATAAAAATATGAATATTGTTTTGACACTGCGATATTTGCCGCTGCGGGGCGGGAGTTTTGTCAGTCTATATATTATTGGTATAATTTTTATTATTTGTGCATGCTGCCATTGGCGTAGGTCTTGATATTGTATAGATAAACAATATTACTATTCCAACTCGCGTACGTATCGTATATACAGAGCGATTGCAAGGAGCGCGAATAAAATGCTAAAACACTAAAAGAACGTTTTCGAGGGCAATAAATAAAGTATTTTTTTTATTTTTTTTTTTTTATAGCTGTTACTATGTTTGTTCAACGATGTTTCAGAAGTAGAAAAAAACAAGCTTCCTTTTAATGTTGGTATAGGTAACGAATTTTCAAATTATTCGCGAACAAATAATGGTAATTGATATTAAATCAAATTTATCACTGATCATTTTCAGATTATAATATTAAGCGTGGACGAAATTAGAAAAAAATAAACAAAAATAACCGACACCGATACTACCGATGCGGGTGTTGCGCCTGCGGGGTACGTTAAAAACACAATTTATTAAAATTTGATGAAAAATAGATTCTCAAATCATCGCGTCTTCTCCTTCGCCTACGTCCAACTATTTTTCGAATCAAAGAGTACTCGGTAAGCATATTGTAATATTAATGTGTGTATGCACACGGGATTGAAATTTTTTACACGGTTAAAGGTCGGGTTTTTTCATCGTACAATAATTTATCGGTCTATGATAACGGCTGCGTAGTCTCGCATAAAGAGCCTGCTGCTGTGCATCGCGTTATCGCGGTTTCCCATAACCCCAGTTATTTAATTTGATTCGATATTATGGTTTTTTAATATAAATTATTATAACGACGTCTAACGCATAATATCGTTCTTTATAATATAATTAGTGTCGGAGTAGTAAATAATAGCACATAATTAGAACGGTAGATAACTAACAGTAAGTAGGTGCATCGCATTTGTATTTACGATCTGTTCCACGGTGGCGGTCAATGTCGGGGGGTTGGGACGAGGTTGATGGTTTAACGATATTTTGAACTACGAGTAGGTGCTATTATTATTTAGATTTTTTTTTTTTATACAAATAAATAGATAAAAATATCAATATATATATATTATAAATATTGACGGGGAGAAAGGTCGTGTATCCCTCTCATTCCGTCTGCGCGGATACAAATTATTTATTTAGATATTTTTTTTTTTTTCCCCCCAACAATCGGGTATTTCTTTAAACACGACGCGCGCGGCGAAACCCGTGTGTTCGAATTGTAAAATATATTATAAAAAGATCGTTCTCGAATTTTCTGTCAACAAAATTATGTACGATGATTATTCATGCATTACCAATAATATACCCGCGTGCTTGACTGGCTAAATGCTAATAAAGTACGCATTGTATTCTTTTTGGCTTAAAAAAAAAACAAAAAAAAAAATTCAAGGCAAATATTATTGTCGATTTTATCAATGAAAAACGTATTATTATTACAGTGTCAGCTATACCCATAATTATATGATACTGTATTATAATAACGTTACATTGAAATCTACGAATATTTAGGTATAAATGCAACGGGTGATGGATGTATGAAATACGCGTTTACTATTTTAAAAATATTTATACCACCGTAACAGTATTGAAATGGAAAAGTATACTCGCAAAAAAAAAAAAAACACGATTGTTAAATATCGTGACGTATATTACGCGATGATCTATGATCTATGATTATGATGATCTGCATTACGTATTATTGAAATCGTCAGAAATTATATTGTTATAATACCTGTAGGTACAACTGTACGAGTATACCGAAATGCTGCGGGTGTGTACAATAAAACGTGATTCGTTTTTTTTTTTTGTGTTGTTTTAAATTTAGTTTCAAAATATTGCGAATAACCTTCGCGGAAAAAAAAAATAACTGCAGATTTCGCTTATTAGCAGGTGTATTTATTATATTTTCATTTTCGCCTGCGTTTAAATATAGAAACGAGTATTCTAACAAAGATGACACATTATCATAGCCTACAGGTACGTTTCGACGAGCGCTACGATTTACAAATGCGTATTTGTTAATAAATATCTATGTAGGAAGGGAATAAACTGGAGTTTAATACATTGTAATTTATACGTTATAAATAAACGAGGAAAATGGATGTAGAGAGAAAAAAAAAAAAAAAAAACGTAGAATATATTAAAAATGTATAATATTTGTTATTAAATTTTCCTCGTTCAATTTTTATATAATATAGCCACTCTCTCTGAACATGCGCGGAAAACAAAGAACAAAAATCGCAATATCCAAACAGAAACTTTATACATAGTACTGTACAATATATACCGTCTCGGTTTGGTCGACGTATACAAATAATAATTATTAATTAAGTAACTTTTAACCGTTTCTCTCAGATTCTCGTCGATATAATGCGGCGGGAATAGTTAGGTAGGTACGGGGGAAGGTACATCGATATAAAACGTGTCTACTTGTTTCTCCTTTTTTTTTTTTTTTTTTTTCTATAATATATTGTAATATTATTCGTTTGTTCGATAAATTTATCGAAAAAAATGCAAACTTTATGCGCATAAATCTAACCTGTGTTAGATTCTGAAATATTTACTGGGATATTATTAATAACCAAAAAAATAACGTTTGACAATTTTCCATTCAATATAATAAAATATTATTATACTTTTTTTATCTACCTAGGTTTTACACAATCGTACAAATCATTATTATCTCTACATGAAAATTGCGTGATAACGGGTATTAAATAAAATGGTAATAATAGAAAAATGAAAAAATATGCCATTATAGGTGACTGTCATTATAAATATATTATTGTTTATTTGAATTTGAATAATATTTACGTTTTGAAGTTCATAGAGAAAATAATAATAATTTCGTTATCGCAGTTCGGTCTATCAGAAAAGAAAAAAACAAGATAATATTGTTGATAAAACGGAAATATTATAATATCCCGTTAACCGTAAAGGAAAATATTTGATTTACAACACGAGATATTAATTATTTCTATAAATATAATTTGTACGATTGTAAATTTGTAATTTTTATTATTATCGTTTGTTTTGTTACGGTATTGTCATCGATACAGACACGCCTGTTTTGGAAACATTTACAAATTTAGATTTCGCGTTACCGACGCGATATCAATGCGACGATGGCGTTAGGATCTTGCGAATTTTACGAGGCAAACACTCGAGGGTTATGTCGAAAAATTGCCTGCCGATATTATTATTGAAGCGAAAAAAAAAAATGAAAAAACGTTATCGTCGTGATTATAGCGCACGGGTGTTAATATAATATTATGGCCGACAAAAAGATTCCCGGAGCATACCAGACCGGATTATTATTATTATTTTCCTCGGGCTCGCCGGAAATTATAATAGAGATTAGGTCCATTATCGTTCGTATTGTGCGTGTTGTGTGTCTACGTATAGGCGTGAACTCCGCTTTTCGGATTAAAATTCTGGCGCTGTGCGACGCGCGATAAAAATCTTTGTGCCGGCGCGAGTTTGCACGTTTATATATATATAAAAAAGAATAAAAATGTTTAAAAAATACACACGGCTCTTACACGAGGGGGGCCCGCCCCCGCCACGACAGTGTCGTTGTTCCGGTCTTTAGCCGAACAATTATTATACTCGGCGCAACACCTCTTGTTAGCCAACCGGCGATAGCGCTTGTTTAACAGACAGAGACGGAAAACTTATTACAAACGTCGGCTTCCGACGAAGAAAAAAAAAAAAAGAAAAAAAAAACACATTTTATGTAACGGTAGGCAGGCGTTTAATTACCCCCGCGTGTCGCGACGACTTCCATTCTTACGAAAATCCGGGCAGCAGGATTTTTACGGTGCAGTGGGAAAATAACGCGAGGCGATGGTTTTGTAGCAGTCCGACTCGCCGCGGTGATGTGAAACGACGACGGCAGTAGGGAAAAGTCTGCGCCGACTTTCTAATAACGCGACGGCGACGGGCATGGTGACGGTTTCATGACAAATTGAATATTATGTAGAAACGAACGAACGAATCGAGTACAGAAAAAAAAAAAGAAGCTTAATAACCAAAAATGGAATATTATACGAGTTAAGAAAAATCGGAAAAAAAAAAAATTAAATTAAAATTAATCCGAGTCTGTTCGTATAAAATAAAACAATCGAGAACATCGCCGGTACAATGCAATAATTGTCAAATAGTTTTTAACAAACGGAATAAAATAATATATGCAATACAATTATCGTCGCATTCGGGTAATACGAGTCGAGGTGTCCGTGTCGATCGTATTATTATTACGATTGTTACCGATTGCCCGATTTTGTTTGCAATAAAATAACGAAACCGGTGATCGCCAGCGTAAAAGCGCACCGCGAACAAAACACGCACGTCTGCGACGAATATACAAAAGGTTTCGACTGGCATAAAAAAAATAATATTGTCCATTAGCATCTTAGCGTATAGTGGTCGGTAATTAACGGAGCAGTACATATGTTATACTGATTACGGACATTTTTAACGTGCGTTATGTGCATATGTATACGCGACATATTACGCGCGCGAACCACAATAATTCGTTGATTATGAGGTCTTTCACATTCGGTCGATTTTCTAAGATTAGGAAAAAAAAAAAAAAAATTATTACGACTCGTGTTCCGATACAGGTGCTCGCGGGCCACCACGAGCGGCCGTACGGTGTTGTTTTATTTATTTTTTTCATATTTTTTCCCCACACCCGTAACGTCGACCGGAAGACGCGCGGGTGAATTCGGCGACCCGGCGAATATTCGGCAGGCGATCGGTTTCCCCTACCCCCCCCTAAGTTTTTCCCTTATCGCGAGTCCCTTGTCCCCGGGGCCGGCGTCCGATGCCCGGGCCTGTCCGCTTTTCACGCCAAAAATTAAATGCGATTTGTTAAAACCGTAAATCCGTATGGGCTTACACGTGATTTGCGCCAAAAACCACCACCCGCGAAAAAAATAAAAAAAAAATATGTCCACATAATTTTTCGGCACGCGCTCCCTTCTGTTTTATTATTTTGACACGGATTGGACGGGCCTAATTCCAGAATTTGTCTACACCACGGTTGTGTTAGATGATGGAATCAACAACCGAATATTTTAGCGTCGTCCCATACGCGTATCAATGCTGCACGAATGTCGCAAGTGTGGCGCAGATTACGTATTTCGTTTTCTGTCCAGGCGCAAATTACCGAAATGAATTCTTAGATGTGGCGCGAAATACACGTTATATTTATGGAAATATGTACCTATTGGTGGCGCGAATCGCAAGCACAGTGGTTTCCGCTTAATGCGGTCACGTCGGGACCCAACTACAATTGCCCACATTAAACGGTTTTTAACCGAAACGTGTATCGTTGTACATTAGAACCGGGACCGGACCATTACGCCCACATTAGGCGGCCGCCCGCATTAACCGGTGGCCACACTAAGCGGAATCCACTGCAATCAAACTGACGCGAAACACCGCACGCCCATTCGCATTGGTCAAGTCTTTCCCCGTTCAAACGTACGTACTGCAGACTACTGCGGTTTAACCCGGCCCGCCCGGAAAAATATTTCTACAGCTGGCGCCTCTGCCGCCTAGTAATTTGTTACGGCCGTCGCGTTATCGGGCCGGGGTACATTTTCCGGTTTTCCATCCCGTTTCCACGTACCAATACCGTTACGGGTATCTATAGGTGCGCGGCGGGGGAGGAGGTGATGGTGGCGTCGAGAAAATCGCGAATCGTACCGCGGCGCGGCGATTTAGGTTGGCAATAATCGTCGCGTCACGGTCCGCATCGCGTGTCCGACAAGTGTCCCCGCCGCACAGTATCGTATCAATTTATTGTTACAGCTCGGCGACGGCAATATTAATAATAATAATAATAATAATAATGATAATAACGATAATGATAATAGTCGTAAGAAACCGAACATCGAACGCGCCTCCGTGTTGCGTACGCGACGCAGCCGTGTGCGGACGATCGTGTGCGCCTGCTAGCGAGCCGGTCGTACGTATTATTGTTATTATTATTATTATTGTTATTATTGTTATTGTTACAGCGGCAGAACGTTTTTTAATTGCGTTTTAATACTGTCCGAACGGTACCGGTCCGCGCGGTTAGCGGTTAGCCAGCGAGCAAGTCAGTATACAATTATAGGTAGTGTACATTCGAATAGTGTGTTAAGATGTGTTAACGTTACGGCGCGGTTTTTTTTTGTTTATACGTAGAAAAAACACTTACGGCCGGGTATGCCATTTTGGACGCTCGATTCTGGTCTTCCCGTCGGATCCAAGCCATTTTCGCGGCCGGTGCTGTCGTATTCCTCGCGACGACGGTCTCCTCGCGGTTTCGTTTGCCCGTGTGAACTTAACGCGGTCTGTAAAATATACACACACACACACACGCACGCACGTATAGTATACGAGTAATATTACGTTCGTATTGGTATAGGTATGGGTAATGTACGGATATCGAGGGAAAAAATCAAAAATCAATTGTCCCTAATGTTACGATATAATTATTACAATATATAAATATCGACGAGACGGTCTTGTTTAATTCGTTCGCAAAACGGATGTACGGTCCCGTTTGTGCAGATACTGACTTGTCGGTCAAGATCTGAGCGGTATTAGTTTCGCGCGGAGTTTACGACCGACCGAAACGAACGACGACGGATTATTATTGTTACTAATATTATCGCGATAATGTCCCATCGAAAATCGGAAAAAACACTGTACCGGACCGGTTGCGCGCGGTCAAGACGTTCGCGCACATTTGCCGGCGTCGACGCGAAAATCTCCGCTTTATATAAGTTTTTTTTTTTTGTTTTTTTTTTTTACTTTGCCCGCACGACGTCCGATATTATACCGTATGCGCCTATGCACCCGAGTGTTTACGTAAGTGCGTACAATGTGTATGCGCTATGCGACGCGTGCATAAATATCGAGGAGCGTGTGATGCGTGCCCGCGATAATAATATCGTATGCTACGGGTGTTGTAGGCGTTTCAGGCAGGTACACACTCGCGGGCCGCGTGCGGTGTGATCGGGCGGCGTTTAGGTACTGTGCACGGGCGTGTGATAAGACGAAAAAACGGCGAAAAATTATGGTTTTTTTTTTTTTTTTGCAAAAGACGATTATAAAAAAAAAAAAATAAAAAAATTACTACAACCGTCCTGTTATGTGCACTGCGTAGAATGAAAAAAACTCGGTGGTTTTATTTTCTTTATACGTGCACACTCACACACATATACATGTATATTATATATAAATGCGATTGTGTGCCGCAGCATATATACCGAACTGAGCGGTGTGCGGTGCGTGACTGAGTGGAAACTACGTGTACGAGGAGGAGTAGGTGGGGAACGTACGCAACGCGGCACGGACGAAACCGGTTGCCGACGCCGAGCGGTGCCACTACTTCGATTTCACACGCGGGTCGCGGCCCCGGCGGATGCGGTGCGGTGGCGGTGGGGGGGCGGGGTGGGGTGTGGATAGGTGGCGGGACCACGGCGATGGGTGAGACGCGTCACGTTATCACCATTTCGTGTTCAATGATAAAGATGATAATAATAATCGCACGTACAGGCATACATGACTACCAGAACGACTACAGGTATTACGGTCGGATCGGCAACAGGTAAGATCGCAGAATTGCCGCCGCTGAGCGAAATTCCCATTCGTCGTGCGCGCACAACTACCTGCCCGTATTGTGTAATGCGCCGTCGGTGAACCGGGAGAGGGAATTCGAGAACGTTCGCAGGCGCCCGCGGTGGCGTCTCGTTCGCGGACTTCCCTGGAAATTGTTCGCGGGATGTTAACCTTCTCCGCCATCTCACGGGGCATCAAACCCAATACCCGTCACCGGCTGGTGTGTTAGATAGAGGGAGTGCAATGACGGTCGTCATTATTCGTCATAACAAGTGGGAGAGAGACGTTCCGGACTAACGTTATAATTTCTGGAAAAACACGCGCCAATAACGTAATTGACGATAGTTGAATATTGCAGACCGACGCGTGAGTCATCGTCGTGGTACACTAGATTGCCGTGAAATCGGTCAAATTATTAATGACATACGGGAAAAAAAAAGGTTATGCAAACGGGAGGTTTTTTTTTGGAGCGCGCGGGGTTTTCCCCCCGTAATAATTGTACACCATATTAAGAACGAATTACGCACAACTATTACATTAGACCGGTGCACGTTAAAGTTAGTAAGTTAAAAAAACTTTCTAAAAGGGAATTTTTCTAGGGCGGTACTATACCGTGGTCATTTTTTGATTTTTCCAGGGGTTTTCATAATAAATGGAAAAACTGGAAAAATGTACGAAATGTATTATTATTATCAAATCTTTCGTATTAGGGCCTTTCAAACATGTATAACTGAACTCTACTCAGAATCGTTTTTCGTTAACAATGAATTATGTATACAGATATATATATACAATTTCCCCTCACCTGCAACAGTGGCTCACCCATCGTGCGAAATATGTCCCGTCTTTTTTTTTTTTTCTAGAAATAATTTACTTCGGAATCTGAGATTTCGGGAGGATTCAGTCAGCACTCGGCACACTGCCCATAATAGCATACTGTAGCAGGAAGTAGTGGTGCCTATTCACTACTCAAGTCCTCCGAGTATTTTCCTCTCTTGTTTTAAATATTTTAAAAAAATCGAGCGTATTCGACGATAGCGACATTTATTAACGCACCATCAATACACGTCATTCAACTTTCCGAGTTACTTTATGATGTTGTACATTGTGATGCGTGCTGTAGAACATATACACAGATCGTAAAATTGTAAATGTTTATCGTTTGGAACATCAAATACCTGTTTTTGTCTAAACGGATTGTATACATAATCGCTATAATATAGTAAGACTACTACTACATAGGAATTACATTGTAGGTGCATGTATTATATTTATTACGAAAAGCAAATTGATTGACGTGAATTTGTAATTGTAACGTCGTTATAATAGTTGATTTTTCTTTAATAATATTTAATTCATGAATTAAACACTTGAAAAAAATTACAAATCGTACAGTATTATCTCTAAATATGACGATTACCTATCTAAACGTCACCACGTATCGCGTATTCGTTAAATCATAATAGTAATACGTTTCCTACAGTAGGTGCCTAAATACGAACGTATGTATTGTTTAATTGAATGAAAAATAAAAAAAGCCTATATACTTATTACTTTACAAAATGGGTTGGGTATAGATATCTGTTGTACGTAGGAAATAGAGAAGGTAAGATACTTAGGATACCTGGTTTAGTTTACACACTTTGCAGCGCGACGAAAACTCATTGAAAATAAAAAACGATTTTGAGCGAAGATCCAATGAAACGTTTTTTAATAAATTTAAACAAAAATTGTATATTAATGTTTAACTAAAAATAAATTGCGTGTATTTGCGTTTTTAATGAATTTAACATAAATTTGAACATAAAAGACTAATAAACATGAACAACAATTAACAAACTTTGGATTCAAATACACAAATATATATTATATTATGTATTATACACATATATTGTACTCGTATAATACATGTATTCGTAAAACCAAAAAAAACCTCAAAACTTGCACATAGTTATAATTATAATAATAAATTATATTTAACATGTTTTATTTTTAAATATTTTGGCGTAAAATCTCGCAGGGGAGTAGCTGCCTCTCCTACCTCCCCTGTGCATACATTTATGCCTTACTGTTTTAGTTCTAAGTCCGCCTTTGATGTTGATGATTGGAACACGATTACTGGTCGAAAATTTGTTTACAGAAAGACGGGGAAAAATACATTTTATACTAAAACTACTATAATAATCCTCTTTTTACTTAGAATCTAAAAATGTCATAATTTTATTTACAAATGAAATAGGTTATATTTACAGTCAAAATAAGAAAACAGTCAACAATACGAACACCGTTGCGCGTGATTACGTTGCTTGAATTGAATTTTTAACTATTGCAAACTATTTATAAATGCAAGGAATGTTAATTAACTTGTTAAATAGGTACTCCGGTGAGTCATTAACATTGTCTGGTTTTATATAGCGTATTATAGTAACGCGGTGAAATAATAACTGAAAAATTCGTATATTAGATTTATTATTTTACCCGTAGGTACTAATGCACTTTCTGTATAACATGAAATGTTTTTTTTATTCTTATAATATTATAATACACATTCGAAACCTTTAACTTGTAACTAGTGCACGTATGTTGTAGGTTATAGGTAAATGGGTACCTATCGTTTTATTAAAAAATTACCAATTTTTTTTTAATAACGTGTACGTGTATTTTATCACGAAGCAAAAGTTATCTGAGGTGAATTAATACTAATATATTAGACCTTAGGTCTATAAATAGACCAAACCGATTAAATAATAATATTATAGTCATGCCATGTTAGTCTATACATAGTTATATACAGAATAATTTATTATATATAGTATAGTAAAAAGATGAATTAGAAAAAAAAAACGTTCGCACAAATAATTAGAAAAAGGTTTGTCAATATACTGTCTGCAAAATTGCGATGCTTTTGATACATTTCGTGGGTTATACCTAGAAAATGAAATCAGTTCAATAATATTATTTTTTTACGTCAAATTGTTGTGCGTATTGAATGTACAGTATTTTGTCAAAATCTATACTATATTAATTTTATTTTGCGATTTATTTTTTTTAACGTTATTTTATACAAGTTTACTATAGTTTTTAAATTATTGGTCATTTTTTATTATTTCAGTTTTCAAAGAAAATATTTACATTTTTAAACATATTTATAGGTACTTATTATATTGTTCAGTATTAGTATTATATTTATAAGCAAGCAAATGTATCTTGTTCATCAACAAAAACAATACGTAAATGTGGCATTAGCCTCAAGTTAGTGAATTGCTAAAGAAGTACACATGTGAGGAAGGAATGTGGGCAACAAAGATTTTAGGTAGGTATTCGATTAGTTATGGATGTATTTTTTTATTTTGTTTTGCTCGAATGCATATATGCATGATCTTTAAATAAAAAGATAGAGTCTCATGCAGGGGATAAGAAACCATCGTCGTTTTCTATATTTATATTTTCTCACCCCTCCAGATGCAGGAACCGACACTCAACAGTTTCAAAACAACTGCGTAGTAGACCTACCTATAGGCACACGTGTCTGAAAAATATATTATACCACTTGACGACGAACTATATCACGTCACATATCCTGTAGATCTAAATCATTTGTTACTTAATTATTTTCAATATTTATTACACTGCGGCTTATAATATTATATTGTGGCTTTAAGAATATTAAAGTATCTACAGGTAAACTGAATTAAATTGGTAATTGAACATTAATAATAATAATATTTTAAATATTAATATTAAGTTAAACTCTCAAATGAAATATTAAACAAAATGGATGAGTAATTAATACAAATAGTGTCGTATAAATAGTATTACAAAAACATATTATGATTGCGTTGCATATTATTAACGTCTCTAATAAAATTGACACAAATCAATTTAATAACTTTAAATAATAAATTCGATGGTACCTATACATGTTAAAAACAATAATTAATTTAAATGGGTACATTGCTATATTGTCTATTATATCGATAATGGAATTAATAATTATCAAGTGTACAAATATTAATATTATATTAACTGAAATAGATATCATCGCCCATTGGATTGATAACGTTAATTCAATTTTAATTTTAACATATTAACGCATTAACCTATAAATAGTACCATACAAATGTCAAACGCACGTCTTGTTAACTCTTTCTTAAAAAATTTTACATAATAAGTAGTAATTTTCAATAGTGCATAACAATAATATTAAGTTTAATTTGAATTTATATTTTTTAATAAGTACACTTATTATATAGGTATAGTTTAATTTCCCACGATCATATATTATATTAATGTAGACTAATTAGAGCATTTGACACTTATGTTTTTAATTTTAAAATTAATGCCCAGTTTTTTATGTCTCAATTAACTATGGTTTAATTTTTATTGAGAAATAGTATATATAGGTATACATATATTATATGATAGTAGAAACCTATTACGATTTTATTGACTTATATCTGTATTCAATTATTAGAAATGATTTATTACAAATTAATAATAGTTATTGTCGATTTAATTATATTTCATAACTGGTGTTGATAATTGGAAAAAAAATTTGGGTTGAAAAGTAGTTAAATTGTAAATTGTTATTAATCTTTTTATGTTAATTTTTATTATTAAGTTATCTTTGTCAAAAAAAAGCTCTCGGAGGGGGGATTTCTCCTATCGCTCACTCTCAAATTCTCCACTGTGCAGCACTGCCCGTAGTTCACGTGTCTCCATCGTTGATATATGCCTTCTTTTAAAATATTTCCGTTTTCTGTTTTCCCTTCATCTTTGCTCATTTTTGTTATATTCCTTCATTTTTAATAGAAAATTAATTTATGAAAAATATGCAAATCAAAGATTTAAATTTGAGTTTTTAGTTTTTACTACGATAATTATTCACGATTTAATACAATTTGCAGACAACAGTTAAAATGAATACATAGGTTGGTACGTGAAAAAACCATATTCTAGTAAAGATATCATAAAATTTAAAAAATACATTATCAATATTATGGTTCTAATTTGAATACAAAAGGTTGTTAAATGAAGGTATAATTTATACTTATATATTTATATGTAATCTACGTATAAATATTATTAAAAATGTTAGAATCATGTAACAAAAATCAATAAAATTACCAAATTTCTAAAACATAATCCATAAATTCTATAAATATATTTTTTGTTTTTGAAATAGTATCTAAACTATAACAATAGAACTTATAGTTTAGTGCTAATGCAACAATATTTTTTAGATGTGATATAATTGAAAATTAATATAGGTACAGAGTGTCTCATCACCGTGTACATCCAATAGTAAATATTGAAAATGAACAATTTTTAAATGTGATTTTTGAAACTATTTCTTGTTGTAATGAATTGGTAAAAAATGGCCACGCAAATTTTGTAAACACTGTTGGTAAATTTAATTAAAACTTTTTTTTTTAACATTTGTATGCATTTTCAAATTAAACTTTTTGACAATTAAGACTAAACATCAAAAAAGTGGCTGATCTCATGTGAACTTTATGTTAAATTAAAATCTAATTTCAAAATTCATTATTCACTATATTTATCCGATTGATAAGTCTAAATTTCTGCCACGCTGATTATAATAATATGTGTTGGACAACGAAAAAAATATCGGTATTATATTTCCCTAATACGAAAATGAAACTAATAATAATATAACATAACTTGTGGTAATGCAAACACGCAACATAAAAAATAAAAATAAAAAAAAATCATTTAAATATTCCCTCGTATACGATATTATTATCTACTTTTAACTATATTTTAATATTGTACCTAACATTCACACATAATGTACAGTGTGTTTCCTTTTAAAGATAACATGGAATATTACTGTCCAGTGACTTCGGATTGAAATAGGATTTTCGGGAGAAGCTAAGGAATACTGAAATACACATTTTTTGACGATTTTCAAATTTTAAGCTTTTTTATTGTGTGCATACAACTTGCATTTTGGTAACATGTATTTTAAACACTAGATTTGGATGGACTGAATTTTTTAAGTTATGTTAGTCTTTTAACCATGATTCTAAATCCAAAATTGACCGAATGAAAACGGATTAAACTTTCAATTTAAATCAGTTACTTTTAAAAATCTTAATACTTTTTTTTGTCATGTAGTCAATTTCGGTCCATCCAAATCTGGTGTTTAAAATGCATGTTGCCGTTTAAAAATGCAAGTTGTATGGCGTATGCGCACAATAAAATGGCTAAAAATTTGAAAATTGTCAACAAAGGTATATTTCAGTATTCCTTAACTCCTGTCAAAAAAGTCCATTTTAATCCCAAGTCATCATTGGACAGAAATATTCCGTGTTAGAAGGAAACACACTGTATAACATGCCTATTGTAACGGAGTTTTACTAATCTCTATAATAGCAGAGGTATTAAATTAAATATATTTCTTCTTAAGTCATTACGGAGTATTTTATAATTACTATAATTAAGTATATAAGTACTAAAAATAGAACAGCGATTCTTACACAAATAGAGTATTTCGTTTATCACTCGTATACGGTTGATACCGATGTCAGTCAACTATAAATATCATAACATAATACAAGCGTCTTTCTTCACATACCTAATTAATAATCTGTCAACAATTGATCTTAGTGTTAGTTATAAAAGTACAGTTTAACATAATATTAGAACCCGTAACATTTTGATTCGATGTCCTTATCATTTGACATTTACACACGCGTATCGTAGCGAATGGGTTTTCGTATACTTTCAATGGTTTAAATAAGAAAAAAAAAACTAACATAAATCACTCACTACTTAACGATTCATATACTTAGAAGCGAACATTTAAAAAAAAACACCCAAATATTATATATAGTAAGTACCTATACATATTTAAGATTATGTTTTCTAATCGAATTGGTTATTAATATTACAATAATATAATCTCAACACATTTTAAATGCTGGGGCGTTATTTTATTTAAAATAACAAAATCGTGAACAAAATGTTTTTCCAGTTAATCATTTTTATTTTAAACACCGCTTAAAAAATCAAATAATGACCTATGTAGATAAAATTTACTTTCAGAAAAGTTGTTATACTTATACATTGGAGCAAATTTTCTAGAATAAAAGTGATCTACAGTACAAAAAAAAAAATAAATAAAGTGTCATTGTAAAAAAATTTAAAAAGAAAAAAAAGTCGTCCAATGATTTTAGAAATTTAACCACGTCTAGATAATTCCAATATAAGTATTATTACCAAATTTCAAGTCCCTACGTGAATTTATAACCTCATTACAGCAAAAAGTTCCTTAAAAGCTCAAAAGTGGCTCTTAAGTTTTAGCTATTATACCGTAAGAAAGTAAATCAAAAAGGTACCTGTGATTTTTCGATTAAATCATTTTTTCTGATAGAAAACGTCATCCATGTTTTTATAAAATAATTGAAATCGTGAAATTGTAGGTTTTCTTACGTTTTTTCCCACTTAGATACTTTTATTTAAAAATGACCTCTCAAAGTATAATTTAGACAACTTGAGCTTTCAAAAAATGTTTTTACGTAAAAATCGGAGCAAGTTCACTAAAAAAAACGTGTCCACAGACTAGAACAAAGAAGAAATAAACAGCATTGTAAAATCAATAGCTCCCTTGCTATGCTCGGAATCTAATTTGCTCAACAAAAAACTAAGAAAAATAAAACAAACGAATAATGTATACATTTTCAGTGCCAATATCAGTTATAAACAATAAAATAAAAACGGATACTGGGGACGGATGTGCCACTTCTGTAGGTGGGCAGTTGGGAAGGTTATATCCATAAAGTTATTTGTTTTACCGATAATCAACGATACACTAATGCTAAAAAAAAACAATTCGGTGTAAAATTTGGTTGTAAATGTTTTATTAAACTTAACCTTACGATTTTCATCAAAATTTAATTTTAAAACACTAATAAAAAAAAAAAAAAAAATGCTACATTCACTTAAGTTTTTTTTTGACCACCTAGTACGACTTATAATTAACTTCCTGTAAAATTTCCAAGCATTCTGTTTAGTTTAAAATAGTACCTCCCAAATAAAAATTAAGTAAAAACACGCAACATAAAATGTCTATAAATAGCTCAAAAATGGCACAAATGTAAATGTATTTAATGCAACAACTAAAGAAAATTTCATTTCAAAAAAGGTACTATACTCTATATATCGGAGTAAAATTTATTTTCGAAAAGTTGTTTACAGACAGAAAAAAAAAACATCATTGTAAAACCAATAGATCCCTTATACTTATACACCTATATTTGGCACCATATTCGAATGTTTCTATTTTTATTTCTGTCTTAAAATTTTCCCCGGAACAGACATCTAAAGTTTTAATAATATGATTTTTTCTCGATTTTTCAAAAATGTCAAAACTTTTATTGTGCAATTTTATGATGATTATTATCTTTACTACTAATTCTACACCCCTTCCCCTAAAAAAATGGGAAGTTAATTTTCTTCAAATTTAAATTCCTTGTTTCTGAGGATTTTATATCTATTCTAACGACTCAAATGTACCATTTAATTTCTTAAACATGATATATTTATAGAGAGTGATTTTTTTATCATGAATTACCAATAATTATCTTGGAGGATTTTAAGTGAATTTAACATTCTGTTTTTCTAATCCTGTGGAATCGTTTAAACTTTATTTTCAAACCATTTTTAATTTTTACCCCTACTCCATACATCGTAAATAAAGTTTTTGAACAATGATTCGAATAGAATATGTTTTTCTAGACATTTTGATATGCATAACACTATAATAAACACTAATATCAGATTTATTGCTTACGAGTCACAACCGTTTAAAGTTTAGACTGGAAGAGTAGGGAATAGTTATAAATTTATCTTTTAAAAATAAATATGCAATTTATTATAATTCTTCCCCACTCTTATGTGGTCTCAACTTTAAACAGTTATAACTCATAAACGGTAAATCTGATATTAGTGTTATGGATAGCAAAATGTCTAGAAAAATATTCTCTATTCGAATCTGTGTTCAAAAAGTGGTTCTTGTTTGAAAAACAAATGTACAGTGGATTCCGCTTAATGCGGGCACGTTGGGACCAGTTACAATTGCCCACATTAAACGGTTGCCCATTTTAAACGAAATGATATCGCTACACATTAGAATCAGGACTAGACCATTATGGCCACATTAGGCGGCTACCCGCATTAATCGGTGGCCACATTAGGCGGAATCTACTGTGTATCCTTTTTTTAAGGTTTTGGAGTGGGGGTAAAATATTAAAAATGGTTTGAAAATAAAGCTAATTTTACAATAGTTAAAATAAAACAGAAATTTAATTCACATAAAATCCTCCAAGATAATTGCTGGTTAATGAAAAAAATAAAAAACCCGGTATTTAAAAAAAATGTCCATATATTATGTATTATACAATATATACTACAGGATTCGAAGGGCATACATGCAACCACACCGGAAGCAATAAAACGGATAAGGGAATTGGACGTGCGTCTGTGTATGAACACCCTGTATATCATAATAATTGTGAAGCAATAACTAAATACTATAGTCGTTTTAGTTAGCCTTTTATACATTTCCGTGATATCATTACATTATGTTTGTACCTATATGTTAATCATCTTAACAATTTGATTATATTTTCTTTTTATTTAATTTCACTATTACTACTTTTATAATATTAGATTTGCTGTGATGTTGATTTACTTTAAGCGTTAAGCTAAACGAATAAATAAATAAATAAATAAACTATAGGATTCAAACTGTGTGCTATATAAGTGTACAGTGGTCAGTATACTTCAATAATAATTGTTCTTTGGAGGCCAGTGGTGTTATAGTCGTTTACACATTTAACGTGACGTCATAATACATAATCACTGACTGTAACAGTGCGCGATGTTACAATAATATCAACGTTTTTTAAATATTATATTTTAAAGTAAAACGAAAAAAAGTGCAGCTGCACTAGGAGTCAGTAAATTCTGCAGTTCCTGTAATAACTTCAAATGTTCAATTATATAAATAATATTTTTTTATTCGATTTTGTTGACCACTAATACCCTCTAAAATGTTTGTACATCAACTCCGGATTTTGTTTTTTTAATGTTCCTTCCTTAAAATATACAAAGTTTTAACTCTTTGGAAAAGTATTATCAATATTTTTAAATTTAACTCTTGACACTGCATTAGTATCAAATATTCTATTTTTTGCCACTATCTAATGTCAAAAAATCGTATATTAATGGTGGTTAATATTATCATTTTTTTTCCTTATAATTATTGTACGAAATATTCACACTAGTTTCATTATAAAAATACAATAAAAACGCTTTACCAAAATAACGTAGAATTCAACTAATCAATCATACCTGTAGTTAGTATTTAATTTATGATCTATCAATAATGTATTGAAAGACTATTTAACTCATTAATTAAAAAAATATTCAATTTAAATGATTATGTGTTGGTTAAAGGTTAGGTTACATATGGTAATATGGCAAAAGACACATTACATAGAAAGAAAATAATTGTATGTTTTTATTTTTATAATTATTAGGTATTTTAGATTCTGAGCGGAGTGATTTTCAAGTATAACACTTTTGCTGAAAGGAAATTTGACTAAAGTAGTACTTTAAGGAGGTAATTTTTTAATTTGTCCTGGGGTTTTCATAATAAATGAAAAAAGTCGGGAAAATTCGTAGGAAAAACGGAAAACTTTACGAAATTTATTATTTTCAAATCGTAAATATTACGGCCTTTCAAAGCATGTATAACCGTTTAGAATCGTTTTTAGTTAGCAATGATTAATATCTTTGGGTACAAATATACATTAAATTCCCCTTTATATCCTATTCTCTTCACTTCTCACCTACACTAGTGGCCCACCCATCGTGAAAAGTATGTCCGTATCTTTTTTTATGTGCATTGAATATTCTATGCATTTGCAGTTACTTATATTTGTGTAATTCAAATATTATAATAAAGTCAATGTATTATAAATTATATCGTAAAACGAAAAAAAAAACAAAAAAAATTACATTTTGAAAATTTACTTAGATTAGTAATTTATTTAAGTATTAAATTGTAATGAATGAGTTGATGAATATTTATGAAATAACTGTATCAAAAATTAACGACTGCAGCGTATTAAATACAAATACATTATCTATATATCGTAGGTTAGGTTAGTTTTAATTTATTATTTTTTAAACCCTCTTTTACATTTGCCTTAAGTTATACTCTCTATTACTATTAACGATAAATTGATTCAACTTTAAATTATATATTAAGCGTATTAATGTTAGTAAGAAAATTCCAATCGAGAGTAGACATTTTGATTTATTTAAAGATAGTCGCAATGATGTTGGTTAAGAGAAATTTTTAAATTATACGTCTGAGCTGAGTTACTTACATTAGCTAAGTTAAAAATTGCGTTTGGCCTGCACATACTCGTAACATGTGTTATGAAGAAAAATATACATTTGAACTAAAAACTCTGTTAAAATTAATTTATTAAATACAACCTATGTTTATTTATATAGGTATAATGGATTGAGCGTAAAATTTAAAAAGAAAACCCATTATAATATTGATTTAATCAAACAAAATGATATGAAATAATCAACGGTTCGTTTAAATATAGTTATTTTTAAAACTAAACAAATAAGCCAAGAAAACACGAATAAATATGCAAAAGAATTGATACTGCTGATTGATGTGGTACTATTATAGTAGGAAAGTTAGGGAAATAGGATATATAGAGTAATTATTTAATTTATATATATATAACGATTAATCATTAACAACGAAAAATAATTTTGAGCAAAGTTTGGTTAAACTTGTTTTGAAGTTTCACGAATGAAGCAAGGTTATCGGTTTAAAATGTATTTACAGGCAGAAAAAAATATGTCATAGTAAAGCTGATATACTTCTCATTTTGCTTAGAATCCAATATAAATTGAAGTATATTTGTGTTGATGATTCATAATATACTTCAATTAATACCTCGACGATCGAGACGTGTTGTTTTATTATAATATATATGTATACCAAATTTTGGTTGTACCCATTGACTATTACTCGTACAATGTTTGTGAGAGAGGGACAATTTTTGTTGTGCTTGGGTACTATGTATAATGTATATTTATGTATAGAATATAAAATAAATTTTATTTAAAAATTTTGATTCGTCGATTGCTGGTAAAACATATTTTAAATGTGCGCAGAGTTGTCAAATTTCAAGTAAAACATTTTATATGCGCGCAAACGAGTTGCACCAAATTTCAATAATGCAATATTAATATATCTACAACATAATATGTAATAAATATTATATATTATGTATTTTAATTTGATTAGGAATATATTATAATCGTACGATGAAATGTATAAGTATTTTGCTATGAAAATAAAAATTAATTTTTTTCTATTGATGTTTTTTTGAAAAATTACGTACAATTTTAACGAAAAATAAATAAATAAAAACTACACTTTTGTAATATTAATACTTTAGGAAATATAACTAAATATCTTTGGTCCCAACGAAGAAGGGCTTAAGTTAATTTTATAGTTTTCAATACAAGTAAATTAAATTTTGAAAACACACTTCGTGCACTAATTTTGAAAATAATATACACTTGTGGCACTTTGACTGAAATAATATATATTACATAAGACAAAATTATAAAAAAAAAATTCCAAAAATGACTTGAGCCCTTCTTCCCTGGGATCAAAAATATAGTTCCTTGTAATTACACCTAATTGAATATAAGCAAATATAATTTATATGAAAATAACAGGATACTATAAGCAACAATTATAATGTAAAGGTTTATTCGAAATAGTTTACTTTAGTTATAAATTATATATTATAAATGAAATATACATATATATGTGCTATGCATATTCTTAATTAAAATTGTATAAAAAACTCAGTATTAGGGTAACACATGCTATTATTAAGATGACAATATTGAATTATGGTAGTAGTATTATTTATTTAATGGTTCAATTCAATTTTAATATTTGTTTGGGTTTCGGCCACAGTAAACAAAATTAAAAATGTATAAAACAATAAAATAATTGTCAAATGGAGCACCGAAATTAGTACAATCAGTAGGATATAAACCGAACGAAAATCTGGAATGGTTTGGCAAAACATAGATACACTTTTACTAATAGGCCTGCAGGAATCTGTTTTCGTTTTGTTTTTCTATTACACAGCAATGTTATGTAAACATTTGTATTTATAGGTAGGTACTATATAACTTTTGTATTTAATTCAATGCCGTTGTTATACTATTAGATCGGGTATTTAAAAATCGGGTATTATTATTATTGTTTTTTTTTTTTTTTTGTTATTTCGCATCTAATCCGTTAGTTCAATGACAAAACATGACACTGTTCGCACTGCACATTTTCGAGTGATGTCGAAAGTTTTCCAATTTTACAAAAAAATACAATATAATTACTCGTGTACGTATAGTGTACATGTATAGTAGATAGCTATACAATAATGTGTAAACTTTGAAAATGTTTCAACACAATAATAATAATAATAAAAAAAAAAAAAAACTCGTTTACGCCCATATTATTGTCTGCACATATATTATAATAATATACTCGTATTACTATGCAATATATAAAAATAATGTATTTGGTTATTATACGCGCAGTCAAATTTTCAATTTATATATACCAACAATACCTACTCGCGAGGAAAAAAAAAAAATAAGTATGATGTTTCCTTCTTAAATTTAACCCGCGCTATTCAAGTTTATTACATAGGCACTGCGTACTTGTCATACGGACGATCTCTACTCGTGTTATACACTGCGATATCGGCATTCGTATAATAACGTAGACGACCTTATTCAGATATAGGTAATATTATTGTGACGTAGGTAGATATGTAATGGGTTTTCAAGAACCTTCGCGCCGTTGCAGGTAAGTACGCGTTGCTACACAATAATAATAAATTGTATAACTTTAAAGCTTTACGTATATGCGTAACCTGGTTGCTATTATTCTATATTTCAGAATAACTAAAAAAACAAACGGAAAATCAAATATGAGTACGAGAGTATGGAACGATTATAAGACAGAATTATTAAAGGTCATACATTATGTATGTACGTAAACCCGCAGCAAATGGTGGTTTAATTCCTCTCGCGTCTGATGTAAACTGCAAAAGCATAAGTACATACCATTATTATTTTTTTCCTTCCGCCAATGTGATGGATGTCGCATAAATATATAACATTACAATATTTTAAACCCAGCGCCGTCTTTTATGAGACCGTAATAAAATGTCGATAAGAGACAATGATAATTATACAATACGATAATGATTATGCATTATTATGCGTACCTATCGCGGATACATACTCGCTTTGATACGATAATCACGCGACATTATATTGTCATGTCGTCAGTCAATATAACATTTAGGTACCTATATAATTTGTAAAAATGGGAAATTGTTCGTAAAAAAAAAATCAAAGGTAGGCCGATAATTTTTAATCATAAAATTAAGTAGATACGTCTGTTATTGTGTTCGATCTAATGTGTTCATTAACGAATAAACGTACAGGTACGTATGTATAATAGTGTACGGGTGCTGTCGTCGGTTCTGATGATACGGATTTACACCGAACAATAGAAATTGTCAGCTATAGCAACCGTGAAATTTGTTTTTTTTTTTTTTTTTTTTTTCATTTTTAGTAAGATGCGGCCAAAGGGGACATTTCCGATAAATTTCCGGTAAATAGCTTATCATAGATGGAACGGATGATGTACAAAACGAAAATCCCGATTTCGCGATGTCGTACAGTAAAAATAACGGTGTCGCGGCCGAAGAATATGCGCGCAGATATTGGGATTTGGTGACTTCACCGGGTACCGCGTCTTGATGACCGAGTATTTTTAGCCGTTGCGGAAACGTCGAAATCGAACGGTCAGCAGAAAAATCCCGGAATCGCGCGGGCGAGTTCGTAACATCAGTGAATAACATTAGACGGACAAAAAAAAAATTTAAAAAAAAAAAAAAATCCAAAAAAATCGCTTACCGAATAAAAACGTGTACGTATGTGTAACAGTCGTGATGGTGACGGACGGAGTCTGCGAAACGGTATGACGACTGTCTGCGCGGTGTGACGGCTACGGTGCCGTGTTTGTGGAAAGTTCAAAAGTCCCGGAGACTTGCGTGCGCGTTTACGGATAAATGCGATATTTTGTTAACCGGTTTCATCGAAAGCGCGGTCGAAACTGCCGGTTCGTTCGTCCATCGGCCTCGACAATGACAATTATTGTTGTGCCGCCGTCGTCGTCGCCGTCGCCGCCGTTGTCGCCGTCACCGCGCCGCCGGTGTATAACATTATGCACGCGGACGAACGCATCGCCCTCACCTTCACCTTGTTACAGGTAGGTGTACCGCGGCGGCGACAGGTGTGTGTTATCGCGGGACGCCGCGGCTCTCGAAAAGACGACGGCGCGACGATGTTCGATTATCATCTATTTTAAGCGCCCGATAACAATAATATTATTAACTTGTGCGACAATGCGATTGCGGCTGGAGTGCGCCCGTGCACGGTAGGTGCGTGTACCTGTACACGTATATATATATATACACACATATATATATATATATATATATATATATATATGACCTACGTCATCGTAACATTGTCCGTTGTAACTTTCGTACAACACGCGGCAACCCGTGTATTGTAATATATTTTTGACCGCGGTCGTGCGCTGCTCTAGTTGTGTGCACGGAAATAATCTCGCGTAATCGGCGGCGGCGCAAAAGTGTGTAGGGGGGAGGGAGGGAAAACAAAAAACAAGAGGAAGAACAGCGGCTACGACGACGGGAAACGGGGGGGTAACGCGCATATCAAACCCATCGCCCAATACAGCGGCGGCACTCGAAGCTGCACGTGTGTGCGTGCGCGCGTATCTATAACACGCGTCGTTATCTATTATTATTATTATTTGGAGTGCGTGGGTCAAATAAAATATTGCGCAAGCACACCACACCGACGCCTGCGGTAGTTGCGACGATGACGACGTTTCGTTCCTCTGCACATCTCTGTACAGTTGTTGCGTAAAACGATTATTAAGAGAGAACCTCGCGGACTATACATCGTTATGCTTCCCGTCGGTTCTGCAGAGCCGGATATACGTAATAGGCGCCCCTGGGCTAATAGAGAAAAAATAAAAAACGAGTCCTACTCAGGCCCGCACAAGCAAGCCACGCGTCGCCGTAGGGCGGCGTAAAATATCAAAGAAAATTGAATCGGCGAATGAAAAGTTCCACCGGCCGTGGCGCATCTCGGCGTCGTGGTGCCGCCCCTAGCGGCTATTGCCCGGGCGGCCGCAGTCTCCTAAATTCGCCCCCTACCCCCCCGGCGGTAGGTCCTGCGCGCGCGTATACAGCGATACGGCCGGCGCCTGTACAAGCGTGACGCGTTTAGCGGTCGCGCACGGACGTTCCGTGGACTGCGGGCACAACGACGCCCGTGACTAACACATCGAGACGACTGTATACGTGTGCCGATCGAGCGAATAGCGTTGCCCGCGGACCAGCGGCGACTCGGGCACAAGGCGAGACGGATATTTTGAAAAATCACAAGTGCTACACGTAGTGTTACACGTAAAGAGACGAACGTGCGGGTGCACCGTGCACGCGTAGAAAACGGGATGACGGCGTTCGGTCGTTCGCCGGTTGTTTGGCGATTTTTTTCAGGGATATCGGCGATTCAGTGGCGCAATCGGTGGGGTGTTCCGGGTGTCTGAACACCCGCTGCGTCCGTGTCGAAGCGACATAAACGTGTTTTTTTTTCTTCTTAACGTAGACACGTGACACCCCCCCCCCTTCCCGCATTTAAAAAATCCCGGTCGCGACACCGCAGTGATCAGTTCGAATGTTCAAACGTTTTCAGCGGGTATATAGGCACACGCATATTTTTCTGAAACGAAATTCGTTTTAAGATTTCGAAACGCGCGAAAAATGTGTTTATAATAAACTTGCATACGCATGTATAATTTTACCGTCGTCATGAGAAACCCGAAACGTCTCACTTGTCTCGTCCGACCAGTCGCCGCTGGTGCAGACGTCGAAGGGACGCACACGTGGCGATGTTTCTAGGTTTCGGGTGTACACTTAGAAAACCGCCAACTCCCCCGGAAATATGTTCGGGCTGTTTGGGCCGACAAGTATACGGGGCGTTACGCTCGCGCGCAAAACGTTTGAAACCTGTAAGGCCTAATGCCATTAAAACCGACCCGGTTATACGTTCCGGCCGAACTCGGATGAGAGGCTGTATAAAAAGACGTATATGAGATATACGTATGTGTACGGATGAGAGAGAGTCTGTGGCGGGTACTCACGCGCGACGGACGATTCCTCGTGCGGTTGCAGTGGCGACGGTGACACGCGCGAGTCCTCATCGCGATGCCGAACGCGCCTCGCCTCCGCGGTTATTTCTGGATTCTGACCATGCGGCGACGGAGAGTTTTGGCCCGAAAACTATTCGAAAACGCGAGATTCCGTCCTCGCGGCGGCGGCGATCGTTTGCGACGCAGTTGTTTTATCGGTTCCCCGGCAAAAGACAGAACCGCAGACGCGTGGGCAGCTTTACGTTTTCGCGTACGTACACTAGTGCGCTGTTGTTATAACTTAAAAGTATATACGCGAAGGTGTTTATAATAATTTTTTTTTTTTTCCACCATGCCAAAACCTCTCCCCGCCCGTCCTTCCCTCGCCCGACGGAACGCCATCGCGCAGTCCCGGAAACGACGAGAAAACCGGGTTTGGGCGAAAAAAAAAACCAACGTAATATAGGTTTATGCTTATACTTACTTACGCCGAACGGTATTGGTCGCCGAGTAGTCCGGTTTTATAATTTTTTTTTTTTTTTATTATTATATTCACTATCGTTGCGGGCTATGCGATTTCTGTTACTATATGTATAATATTATACACTTGGACGAGAACAAGTTTTATAATAACAATATAATATATTATATTTATGAACGCTCGCGGATCGTATTATTTTATTTTTTAGCTAGCATTATAGCTCCTATATACATCATTATTTAATGATATGGTTACTACGGGGGAAGTACGCTGCTGCTTTCCCTGCGGATTCCTGTTCACACCTTATTCATGTTTTACGCGTCGCATAGGTAATCGTGAGGTACGCTCACGGGTACGACGGCCTAAAAATATCAATAGTCCGCTTTATTCGTGTTAATTTTTTTTTTTTTTTTTAATCTTTGTATTATAAAGGTTTCAAGTCCAAAAAATTAAAGAAAACGTAAAAATCGTCTGTGATAAAAGTGTGCACCTACGACTTTTTTGATTTATGATATGGACTTATTTTCTTTAAGTTCCATAAAAACGCTCAAAAATTGTATACAGGATTCATCGTATACAAGTGTTATTCTTTATGACATTATTACAAAGATATAGAAAATCCGTAGTCCGGTAATCTCCGTATTTCGATTTTTTGAAAACGATTAGTGAAAAATAACAATTTAATAACTTAGCCATTATTTAGCCCTTTTAAAACTCGTATACTTATAACTTATTTAATTAGCGTACAAAGACATTATAGCCGCGTTAATTTTGCTTTTTTTTAAAATAGTTTTAAATAGTAATAAAAAACAGTACGTACATCCCTCCAAAATATGCGCCTCTTTAAATTTGTGTAATTGTGTTTAAATTCAAATTTCAACCTAAATTCCATAATTTATGTTCTAAATATCGTATATTTGTCTATGGCGCTCATTAGTTTTGGACAGACAGTAAATCTGGGTATTAGGTCCTCTTATTACATTTGCACAACGAGGCAACAGCAAATTGCTATAATTAATGACTGGTAAAGATTAAGATTTTATCATTAATATAGTGTTGTGTATATAGAACGCATACGGTTCAGCGGCTTACAGTCGAATTCTACTGATATCGAAAAAAAGAGGACGTACGAGTCTACTATCAATAATATAATCGATATTGTACCGAAATAATCTCTGTTTGAAAATATATATCGTAATATTATCGCATACCCACCCGTTACCGTAGAGAGACATCCACTTACGAATCATTCCACCCTCTAGAGTTTAAGGATACTTATTTTGTGGAAAAAAATTTAGTACAATATTGAATTTTTTTTTTTATTTATAATACGTGAAGTGATTAAAATTATAATCTTAATCAAGTTCGTAAAACTCACAGCATTTCATGTACTAATATAACGCTACCTATATTTTAAAAGAATACAATTTTTTATTGTACTCATACAAATATTCAAACAAATTTGTCGCAAGAACCATCTTATAAACACCACTTAAACTATACAGTCAGGGCTGTACAAGGGAGGTGGTAAAGGGATAAACTAGGTTTTCGGGTCTCCATATTTTAGATGGATATCAATTTCCGGCACTAAACATGATGAAAGCCTTAAGGCACCAATGATAGTTAGCATGGTACTGTCTACAGGAACTGAATGACACAAACTGGACAAACTGGACAACCGATTCGTAATAATATTGTATAAATATATTATTTTATATCGCCAATCAAACAATTAACGAGGGTATAATTATATTATTATAGTGAACCAACTGCTATGAATAAATAATTTAACTATGTATTCAATAACGTTCTTTGAGGAATTTATATATTATAAAAAATATAACGTTATACAATATTCACATTCTGTACACATTTATAATTTGTGATCATTTGTATGAAGTTTATAGAAGTTATAAAATCTAAACACAATAGTAAAAACATTAAAAACATCAAACAAATTATGGAAACGTTATTCGATTTTCAATTATTATGCGAGGTAGTTAATTTGCGAATTTTAGAATAGTACAAATAGATAGTTCACAATTTTATTAATAACATATAAGTACGATTTTTTACATACTAATTGCTTAATTCATTTTGTCAATGGTTAAACGATAATAATAATACATAATAGTAATAATTTTATTCAATTTAAATGATTTCCAATTACAAATAGAATAATATAATATAATAGTAATACAATATGGTGACAATAAGTGGATGATAATTTTAAGTCGATTTTAAGTCTTTTATAGTCGGAAGTAATCCTCTAGGGAAAATCGTCTTAGCCCACCCTCTAAGTTTTCCCCAACAAAACCTCTTCATCGTACACACTCGAGGTGTGATATTGCGGATTCATATGCAGCTCATTTAAACTATTATGTTTTTTCTAGGTAGATAAAATGCATTGCGTTATAATAGTGATATGACACATTTGTCCTCTAAAATAGTGATAAAAAAAAAATAAACTTGTATATATGCATTATATGCATTATTGTATTATAGCATATATGTTATACATATTTTCAATATTTTATATTAATGACTATTAAACTAATCGTTAAATTTCAAAATTATTTTTATTATCCCATACCCATCAGCTATAGTGCTGCATAAGTAATAAATATATACTCGTATTTCTGTGTTGTTCGGATTACATACGAGTATATTGTAATATTTTAAGATAGACATTTCGAGTATTCATTTTTCTGATAATTTTGATGCGCATGTATGTCTAAATAGTATTAAATAAATATAATACTTGCATACTGAATGTTGAAAACGTTCAATCGTTACGACATGTACCTAAAACTCGCCAAAGATACTTAAATCATTGCTGAAAATCAGTTATTGTTTAAATAAGATTTCAAATGTAATTGCCAAAAAAAAAAAGAATTAATATTCTTCATCATTAAATAGCCATTGTAATCATAAATAATAGTCAAGAGTGGATAGACTACTTGCATACCAATAAAATACGTGACGATTATACATTCAGGAATGGTAAAGGGAGATAGACTGTTCTCTCCTAATCTACAATAAGTGATATGATCGAATTAATCGTGCAAGAAAAAACTTATCATACAAACAGTTTACAATAATATTGCACTTGGATCCATAATTTTTTTTAGCCAATATTTGTTTTGCAGGGTCACATTGACTCAAGTTAAATTCGGTTTGTTTAAATTTCAGAGATACACCGGAGTGCAGTGCACCATCTGATTTCATATTATAATCTGTGATCATGTAAATGTTATGATTTTTTTATTTCAGATAATTTAATGGGATTCAACCAAATATTATCGAAGCAGATCGCTTTGCTCGAAAAATGCGTCCAAATAAAATTTTTGTTTCTGTAAGCGTTGCAAAAATTATTATCAATATTAAATAATAATGTATTTGGTTTAAAAAGTCTTTGTTATAAATAACAAAAAAAAAGGCAAAATATTTTGAAAATTATACCACGAAATTAAAAATTTCAAATCTCCACGATTGTTTCTTATCTAGAGATTTACAACAAAAACCAAATAGATTTTTATCAAAACTATTATTTCATAAAAATAAATGTTTCCAATTTGTCGACGTTTTTTCTTCTTTGTTGAGAAATATTAGAAGGAATTTAAAAAAAAAAACCATTCTAATCCACCAAACTAGATCGAAAATGTTACAAGAAAATGCCTATAAAGTTTAACTATTGGAGCAAGTACATTACTCTCAACTTTGGTTTGTTTTTTTTTTTTTTGTAAGAACAACAGCTAATGGGTTTGTAGGGCTTATATCAAATGTTAATTACTCTAGCTTATAAGATATAAACTAAGTTAATGGCTATACGTTATAATTATTAACAATAATTAGTTGAAGTGCTGAAATCAAATAAATATATGTTTTATTTTTTTTTAGATTCTAAACGATTAGTTATATAATTTTTTGTACAATGATGTGTATTTCAATCGAAATTTTTCAGGACATGTATGAGATGTATCACTTTGGTATAGTAATATAAAGATATATATTGAAAATTCATCAGAGCTGATGATACGTATATTATTATAGTATACTTAAAAGAGGTCAAATAAATAAAGAAGAAAACGACAATCGTGATTAAATATTATAAATCCTGTAGAGATTCACTCAGAAGTATTATTCAAATATGTGATAATTTTTTCACCTACGTTAAAATTTGGATTATTAACATTATAATATAGGGACTATAAAAACGTGTTGCATGAGAATCTTATTAGGACGTATATGCGGAACCTAAGACGTTTGACTTGAACTCAAGGTAAATTATTGTATATTTAAAAATATAATATTGGTAGTCAAATTTTATCATGTTATATAGTTTAAAATAAAAATATAAAATCTGTTAATTATTCATATTAAAAATACATAAAAACTATTAAATATTCAACGGATGTCGTTTATTAATAATAATAATATCAAACAAAATTTGTTTCCGTAATACAAATTATGATAAATACTTCATTCTAAGTTGTATGTTTAAGTACAGTTTTATAAGTTTGAATATTTATGAATATTTTATTGTTTGCTTGACTTTAAAATATCAATGATACTTAAAATAAACGCGGTATGTTAATTTTATCAATTGTATACAAAAATACAAAAATTTATATTTTATGACGAATTAAAAATGTTTTGTTACCTTTTTATAATGGGTATTCCACGGGTATTTGTAATTTAATATGTTTTCGTTTTCTACGATGTTTGATGGTTTTACATTGTTTGATTATTGCCAGTGTTTTTCTTATCTGGATTAAAATAATACAATTAACAGCGGCGTCATTTCAATATTCGATGGATTGAAGCTAATCTACCAAATTCATTTACTGATGAAAAAAAAGAAATTTACCAAAAAAAATTTTTCACTTCGAATATTTGCCTTTATGCGAATAGGTATATTAAATATGTATACTTTATATTAAGAAACATTAGGAACATATTTATATGGCGTTAAATTTTAAATTCGAAGCGTAGCAACTAGCAAGGAATATATTTTTTTTACAATGATGTTTATTTTTTTATTATTTTTTTCTGTGGACAACTTTTCTACCAGGAATTATCAGCGATAGTAATTTTTCTGAAAGAAATCGAACTGGGGAGGTACTTTGGAAAAGTTATTTTTTGAATTTCCCAATAAATGGGAAAAAATGGGAAAATAGGTAGAATATTAAACAAATAATATTACAAAATATATATAATGCATATTATTATGTAATTATTTTACCATAATATGGCATATATATTGTTGATAACGGAACATTATCAACTAAATTCCGCTCAGAATCATTTTTTTGTTAGCAATGATTTATCATTATTTACAGATATACATTACATTTTCCCTCAACTACCTTCCCAAATTCTCACCACCAACAGTGGTTGTACTTACGTCCGAAGTATGTCCATCTTTTTTTATTCTGCTAGTAACTTTTCTACTAGAATACTTGTTTTGATATATCAAGCGTAGAGCGTTTTCTGGAAGGAAATTTTTTTTAGTTTGAACTTTAGAAAAGTCAATTTTTGGTTTTCCGAGTAGTTTTTATAAAAATTGAGAAAAAACGTAGGGAAATCGGAAAAATTTACGTATAGGTATGTATAAAAAAACAGCTTCAAATCGTTTTTCATTAATAATTGTTTATCGTCAACTACGTATAAATTCATTTTTTTTTTTTATCGTAAGTTTTCAACTTCTCATTTACATCAGTGAATAATAGCTTACCTATTGCGTCGTGCGAAGTTTTACTCTTTGTATACTTTATTTTAAAAGTTGAAAATTAGTTGAAAATAACGAAAAAACAAAAATTAAATATAGATTTAATATTTGTGAGGATATAACACAAATAAATAATATATGTGAAACTTTTTTCGATATTTAATTTTTTTCCAGATCTAAAAGACCCAGAGGTTAAGCAAAATATCGACTTAAAAAATTAAGACAAGGCTGAAAGTAAAATTGGAACAAATAATCAATTGCTATTCTTACAATTGTCACTACTGAATGTAATATTAAAAAACAGAATCGTATTCAGCATATTTTATTTGCATTGTTTTATGGGACGTTTTTGGCGTTAATCCAGTTTACCACTGCATCACAACTCGAGAAATTTTTATTCGAGTATTTTAATGGGTTCCGAAAGATGGTGTAATCATTATTTGTCGGTCAGACCTAGTTTCCAAGTTATAATAATACAGTCATTTGAAGTTCATCGAAATGTTCGATTCACCATTATATCGTGCCCATTTTTTTAGTTGTACAAAATTACTACATCATATAATATAAAAACGGTTTTACTGATTCAAAAAGAAAAACCATTCTTATAAACATTTTTATATGTATAACATTAATATAGGATTTATTGTTTATCAGTTATAATTAATACTTTATTTTTTATAGGGCTTGAAAAATAATGCACTAAAAACCTACAGTAAATGCATTAAAAAATGATCAATAATGCTACAAATAAATTCAATTAAATTAAGCAAATGCTATTAAAAGTGAATTAAAAATATAAATATTTATTTTAAAATAGTTTATAAATGTAAAATCTAATTATTACATTAGATTTTCAAATATTCAAAAATGTAATTCCTAGCCCCTAGGAAACCTATAAATCAAATCTGATTAACATCTATTTAAAACAATGAATTAAAAATGTGTTTACTAAAATTCATAAAAATCAAATTTAATTTTCTTTAATACATGTATATTGAGTAAGTTGTAAGTCTTCCGCTGAAAGAAAATTTAAATACTAATATTTTTTATGAATATTGTCCTACATAATAATATTTAATACAGTTTACAATTTATACATAAAAAAAAAAAAGAGGTGATACTTAGGATAGGAGTGGCCACTGTTTTATGTGAGAAGTTGAGAAGGTAAGATACATAAGGTTATTCCATTTATGTCTGTTAGCAACGATAAACCATTGCTTCACGAAAGACGATTCCTAGCGCAGTTCGGTAATACATAATTTGAAGTGTCGTCATTATTTTGCGATTTTCGTTAAATTTGATTTAAAAAGTCTTATTAAAAAAAAAAAAGTTGTCCGATGATTTTGGAAATTTTACCACGTCTAGGTAAGTCCAATATAAGCATTATTACCAAGTTTCAAGTCTGTACGTGTATTTATAACCGAATTACAGCAAAAAAAGTTCCTTAAAAGCTCAAAAAAATTGGCGATGATACCACAAAAACGTAAATCAATAAAGGTATTTTGCGATTTTTCGATTAAATCATTTTTTCTGGTAGAAAACTTCGTCCGTGTTTTTATGAAATAATGAAATCGTGAAAGTGTACTTTTTTACATAATTTTGACTGCAGAAGCATAAGGACGGGTAATAAACTAATCAGAGGAATCACTCATAATGTTAGCATTATTCAGATTCATTTTTGAGTAAACACATTGATGGGTTAGTGACTTAAAAAAAAAATTGCAATATTTTAATTTATTTTCTAATTTGTTACTATATTATTCTTAAATATTTTCTCCCAGTCTAACTTCTAACTTAACTCAGTTGTAAATTAAAAAAAAAAAACAACTTCTAGTCTCATTTAATTACACATTTTATAATAACGAACCAAACTTAAAAATATATATTAATTTGAAAATTTGAGTAGCTCGTCCAGCTTTGCTTGTATACTATTATAACTGAGATGAATTTAGAAACAAAGAGGCGTTTTTGTTAATTTTCTATACAGACCCGTACCTATTATTGCAAATTGTAACTACCTTAAAATTTATAGCGCTAGATTCGTTACTCAAGTCATATATTTAAGTATACCGATATACGTTTGTCATTATTTTAAATAAATGTCAGAAATAATAATATATTCATGTCAATCCGCGTTCGCATGTGTCGAGTCGTAAACAACAAACCAAACAAATAACAGTTTTTACTATTTTAATTTTAACTATGTGCTAAAAGCTGCACATACGATTGTCAACAATATGTACCTAATTATTTGGAGTGGTCGAACATTAATATTAATTTAGTTTCGTTATGTACACAATAATCATCAATATATAATAAAATATAATGTTCTCTAACGCCATTAAAGTATAGTATTATTAATGTCAATTAATCCGCATGATAAATCGTACCGTATACAATGCCGTATACGACGAAGAGGGGATGTAAAGTGTTCAATCCCAATCCTTGGTTTTACATTTTTTTTTTATTGCATTTTTATTATTTAAAAATAAAAAAAAATTGTTTGACCCTAAATTGAACGATTACTTTTTGTTTACAACAATCTTGATATCAATATTGGTAATATAATTTGCCATATTTTATCATGCTCAATGAAAACAATACTGTTTACTTTTAGAATTGATTAAATTACTTGATAATGTGTTAGCAGTTCGTTAAACTGTATTGATAAATCCAGAGTATGATGTTCTATAAATGAATTAGCTCTAAAACCAAAGAAAGTTATTAAGATATTTTTATTCGAAATAAATGATTGTACTTAGGTACATTAAAAAAAAAAAAAAGGTGCTATACTTGTGTTCTTATGATAACACGTATCGAACCTTCCCATGACCTAGCCATTATTACACCACTGCAGGTATCGTATTATAACGCGTCCCTATAAATAACCAAGAAATCGTCGTACATGAATAATAAAAAAAGGCTATAATATATTATAATTTATATTTTTTTATGATTATAATGTTATTATATTATTATGTAATAATATATGTACAGTATACATGTCACGCCGATAAATTATTCTTATTGCATGCTATCGGGTCGGATTTTCCAGTTGAAATTTTTTAAAAATAAGAGAATAAAGTTATTTTTTAGTTTTTTTTTACCAAAAATAAAAAAATAAATTTAACTATAAATATTTGTAGTCCTTATTCCCGCGAGTAAAATAAAAAAACATATATGCTATTTGTTTAAATGTTTGTAAGTATACAAATTAAATAACAATATAAATAAAACTGTACTCATAGTTTTTGTCGTGCTTTTTTTTTATAATTTTAAGTGCTTATTTGAGTGTTTCTATTGAAGTATTTACGCCAATTTTTTTTAGTGCGTATTTTGATGATTATAAGTGCTATAGCCTATAAGTTCTGAACCTTAAATATTATAATCATTAATCGTGATTGCATTGCGTATAGAACCTTAATAATAATAGCAATAGCAATAGTGTGTTACATTGCATTAATTTATCGATTGGCTAATTAGCTGATATAATAGTGTTGCTAGTTTTGTTATAAAATAATAATTTATTATAACAATATTATGTAGATGAATTTTATAAATCTGTATGGTTGGATCACCAACACAATATAAATGGTTTGTTCTAATCACGATGACGCATTTTGGGTTATCATTAACGAATTCAAATTAAATTATGTATAGGTACATGCATTTAGTACTATGATTGCTAATTATTTAAGTTATCACAATACTGCTATAAACGAAAAAAAAAGAATTAAAAATATAAAAAGTTGTTTATACGTATATATATATATATATATAATATGAATATAACATGGTTATTTTCATAATGATTATCCGCTTAAAACGCGAAACGTGAATAATATATTATGTCTATAATATTATAGAATGGTAAATTATATTAAAATCGTATATGAGTATGTTTTAGAATTTTAATAAAATTTGGAGACGATAGAAACCGGAAGAAAAGTTGGTCTAGGTCGTATCTATAATATATTATACTAATATTCGATTTTATAAACTCGAAATATAATAGTATAGGTAACACGTTGAAAAACAATAAAACTTAAAACATGCATAGGTATATTTTCCAAGGGCAGTATTATTGTTGAATAATAATGTATTTTAAGTCGGATTCAACGAGTTAAATTATTGTTGATTTTTTTTTTACTTCAAGCCAGAAATTATTACATGACTATAATGTTTTAATAAATATTCAGGGCATGAAACTTAAAAAATCGTTTTTGATATTGTTATTTTTCCTGTTTTGGTTTTGATTTTGAATACCAGTATTAGTATTTTTCAGTTTCGATTTTGTGGATTTCAGTGGATCCTCTACTGCTGGAAGATTTAGCGTTCGTGTGACGATATTAGAGAATATCTAAGGTAAAAATATCCCACACATTTAATGCGATGTGTCGAGAAATTTGAAATGGCTTGTATTTGTATTTTATTAATATGATACCAAATAATGTGTAGCATTTTTTAACACTTAGACTTTTTTGACGATCCTATCATAAGTCGTTGGGCAACCATAGTATCTATAATAGTGTTAATGGGATACATATAATATAGGTAACCTAAAATTATTACCGATGTTTAATCCGATATAATACAAATGTGTTAAATATCATTGTTTTTAATCTTGTAAAACTATTGTTTAAAAATCGGGAATATTTTTAAATGATACATATTAGTATTTTTACAATTATGC